ATCCAAGGTGGGAGACCAGTTTGAGAGCCGATGACGCAGAGGAGGGGGAGATTGAGAAGGTAAGAGATGTGAGTGAGGGAGACCCGGTGATACTTCAGACAGGGGGATGAGAAATGAGGGAGAGATTGATAAACCGATGAGTGTTTTTTTTAGTAAGAAACTGAATATCATTCAATACTGAACAAACAAGAAATTAAAAGCAGACTAAAGGAAAACCTAACAACAATCATCATCCACCTCTTACAAATGCTTAAGGTGATGGATGATCAAAGACGCGAAGGCAATCCTCCTCGGAGTGAGCTCTCCTAGCTAGATTGTGAGCGGTAATAACAACATTCCTAAAAGCAAAATTGATAGAAATAGATCAATTCTTATTTAATACATTAGTAGCATAAGATAGGATGTCTTGAAAAGGGTGATCCTCATTAAATCTTCTAGTTAGGAGGTTAATCGCTTCAATACAATTAATGTAGACTTCTATTTTCAATACCCCTGCTGATTAGCAAATTTTAAGTCCCATAATAATACCCATAATTTCAGCTAATACCGGTGAAAGTTGCCCTAGTTTACCACAGAAACCTGTGATCCATCTTTCATTCTCATTTATCGAAGCTCCTCTACATATAGCAAGACCATTAGCATGCACTGACCCATCAACATCTAATCTTACAAAGCCCTTTTTAGGGGGGTGCCATTTATCATTTGGCTTGTGGGAGTTTTTTCCCATATTAACTCTCCTAGTAAGATTGATATCAGTCAAGGCTTTTGATGCACTTGTTATTGTCAATCTGCAATTTGGGCTTTTCATTCCCAAATAAATTTGTACATCTGTTGGTCTAAAGTTCCCAGCAAACATAAGCAAAAATAGTGGTCTAGGGTACCTTTTTTATAGACTCAATGCCAACATCATTTGTGTTATTCCATCTAATCCATTTTAGACAATGTTGCTGCAAAAAATCTCTCCAATGTTCAGGTTTTATAATTTGTCTCCATGCATCTCTTGCAATTTTGCAATCTCTAACTATGTGCATAGTTGACTCTTCTTCGATGCATCCCATTGGACAAGCACTTGAGATAGTTATGCCCCTTCGTTCTCTGAGTTGTGCTGAGTGGACTTTGTTGTTCCTTAGGAGCCAAATGAAGTTTTTCATTTTTTTAGGTGCATCATATCTCCAATTTTTTTCCATAAGCTGTCTCCATTCGTATTAGTACCTGCAAGGAGAAAATCATAAGAAGATTTAATGTTAAAGCACCATCTGATGATGGTTTCCACACAAATTTATCACTTCCTCTCAACACATTTGGTGGGCTAGTGCTAGTGATTCAACTAATGATGGAAAAGTGAGCCAATTTGCCATTTTAGTTTGTCCCACCCCTCGCTTGGAGAGATAAAATCTTCAATGGTGGCTTTAATTTCCAGCGAGAGACTATTGGTTTTGACATACTTGATTAGGGGTTTATTCATGATAGACCAGTTATCACACCAAAATTTTGAATTTCTACCCGAGTTACATCGCTTGCCAATGCCCTCTGTGAATCTATCCCAAACTTTAAGCATACTTTTCCTTGTTTCTGAAGCATTTTTCCTTTTGGAAATCATAGGCCTATCAGAATCCCCACACTTATACTTGGATCTCACAAATTTAACTTAAAAGGAGTCTCTATTTGTGACCAAATTCCAGCATAATTTTAGAATAAAGGCTTGATTTTGCACTTATAAGTCCTTAACTCCTAGACCGCTTGATTTTTTTTTATGTTTAACTATATCCCAAGAGACAAGGTGAAGTTTCTTTTCACCATCCTTGCTTCCCCACAGAAAGGCATTACTTTCCTTCTCAATTTCTTAAAGTAATTTCTCAAGTAGAATCATGATTTGCATGTGGTAGTTTGAGATTGTCGTAAGTATGGATTTTATGAGTATTGATCTCCCAACAAATGTGAGTAGTTTGCCTTTCCACCCTGATAGTTTGGCTCTGACCTTTCCCAGAATGGGCTTGAAATTCAAATAGTTTGCCCTCTTAATCAATAGAGGGATTCCTAAGTACTTCCCAAGGTCCCCAGTGAGGCTGACACCTCGTTGTTTGCTTAAAGACAAAGCTCTAGAGAAGTGGACAGAATTGGAAACACTCATCTTAGTTTTGATCTTGTTTACCTTTTGACCTGAAAGGTTTCAAAACCTCTCCAAACAATTGCTGATTACTTCAATTTGGTCGAAAGAGGCTTCCCCAAATAGGAAAAGGTTATCTACAAAGAAAAGGTGTGAGATAGGTGGTCCATTCTTATTCAACTTTATTGGTTTTCAATTGCCCAAGTTAATCTCATCTTGAATCATGTGGCTAAGTTTCTCCATGCAAAGTGTGAAGATGTAAGGTGAGATAGGGTCCCCTTGCTTAACCCCTCTTGAAGGTTTGATTTCTTCTGTAGGCTCCTCATTCCAAAGAATTCTCATTGTTGGACTTTTAATGCAAAGCTGTATCAATTCCAAAATTTTGCCTGTAATCCCAACTTCCTATAAGCACCATTTGACAAATCTCCAATCCAATCTATCATATGCTTTTTCTAAATCTACTTTTATAACTACTATCCCTTTTTTTTCGCTTGCTATTCCTCATTCTATTCAGGACTTCTTAGGCAATAATCACATTGTCACTTCCTTGCCTTCCTTGAATAAAACTACTTTGATGCTTGTCCACCAATTTGCTGATAACACCTTTAATTCTGTTCGTTAACACTTTGGAGACCACTTTATAACTCACATTACATAGAGAGATGGGGCGAAACTCCTTCATGCATTCAAGATTGTCTGTTTTGGGAATTCCTGTAAGAATCGATGAGTGTTTCAGTAATCACTATTCAGAGACCGTGGGGATCAACCCGAAAAAAAGTTAAAGTTTATAAATCGTTAGATTAAAATAATCAATGGCCAATGAGCTATGATCTGTGTGGTGATTTGAACTCCCTACATTGATTATGTAAATGGCAATATGATCCCTTAAACGGTTACAATTTCAATGAAGTCTTTGAAAATTTTTTTATCAATAATTTTTTTAATAAAAATATTATTTTATCATTATTGATAAATTATAATTTTTTATTTAATTTTTAATTTTTTTAAAAATTATAATTTTTAAATAAAAATTGTGAATAGAATTTGTTATCTTGAGAATTTGTTCAAATTATAATTTTTTATTTAATTTTTACAATTTACAGGATAAAAGTTATTATTCTTTAAATAAAAATTGTGATTAGAGCTTATTTTTTAATAATAAAAATTACACATAATAAGTTGTAATTTATTGTTTAACTCTTGTGATTTACAAAATAAAATTTGTGATTCTTTAAACAAAAGTTATGATTGGAGTTTGTTATTTTTAACAAGGATAAAATGGTTATTTTACTAAAAAATTTATTGACAAAAAAATCTTCTTTTTATTAAAAAAATTTATTGATAAAGAAATTTCTAAAAATTTCATTAGTATTATGACATTTTGAGAGATGAAATTATCATTTATATAATTTAAGGGTATTTTATTGTCATTTTACCTTTTTAAAATTTGAATTTTTGAAGTTTTAGTGTTTTCCCTTTTTGAATCTTACGGTCGTGGAGCATTATGTTGACTTTTTCATTTATGTAATTTTAATAAAATTTTATGTGTTATTTAAATTATTAATAAATAGTACACTATTATCGAGGTTAGATTCTTTTCTGTGCATGTCATTCTTGAGCAGGAACTATGTTATTCTTCTATGCATCGTTTCAATTATATTTAGACAGATTTTAAGTTGTAGTGGGGGATTTTTAATATGTACAGGACTAAGAAATTTAAAATAAAATAATATTTTTATATTTTTAATAAGTACATGATAAAAAGTTTAGAATATAATATGCTATTAAAAATTTTAATGTAGACATGCATAACGAATCTTATAGTATATCTATCTATATAATGTTCTATATACTATTGGGTTTTTTAATATTAGAGGAAGTTAACAAACTTGGTGCTTATTAGGAAATGTTACTTATTAGAAAATGTTACTTATTCCTCTATTTAAAAATGTAAGGTATTTTTAACTGAATCTCACCCTTAATAAAGCACTCACCTATTTTCAAACTAATCTTACCTTTTCATACTTATTCTATTAAACACCCTATAATAAATATAAAGTTATCATCAATAAAGGTATTTTTGAAAAAAAAAAGGTAATGATTACATCTCGAAAGGCTAAAAATGTCTTACATTTTTTAACATCTAACTTTTCAAAAAATGTCTTACATTTTTTAATAGAAGGAGTATAATATTTAAATTGTAAAAAAAGTATGTAACTTTTAAATTTTATCCCTTTTTTTTGTAATTAATGACTATAATAAGTTATTGTTTATGAATTCAAATGGCAATAAATAATTAATAGGTAAAATTGAAAAAAAAAGTAATTACTCTAACTTCGTCTTACATTTAATGGCCTAAAAAATCTTTCAAACTTTAAAAATTTTATATCAAGAAAGTATACGTGTAAAGCACATTGTTCATCCTATTGTTGTTTTATGATAAATGTAAAAGTACTTTTGTAATTACATAGAGATTTGAGACTTTGTAATAATTTCTGCACTCCTCGACCGGGATTTCACAGTAATTTTTTCAAATTTTTTAATAAAAAGTTTAAAATAAAGTATTCGAATCTTTTTATTTTATAGAAAGGTTTGTATTTTGAAAGTACAGATGAGCCTGTAAAAACTCAACACAATTTAGAAGTTTTTATAATTTTAGTGAAATTTTAGAAAAGTTAGCATTCATTCTAAAAAAATATGAAAAGGAATCTATGTAATTAAAATATTATTATTATTATTATTATTATTATTATTATTATGAATTTAAACGAGATAACTTGTAATGAAATACCTTGGTCGTTTCTTCAATAAAAGACCATTGACAGTAATCAATTCTCACTGAAAGAAGACCTTGCCAATGACAGTAATGATAAAAGTATCAAAAGAAGAAAAATTATAAAATCATTGAATTAACTTTATATAATGTCTTTCTCTGTCTATAGGATACGTGTCCATGGCTGGTTTACAAAGAGAGAAATAATTAGTACAAAACCGATTCACTGCAATACAGTGAGGCATTTCCCACAAATGTTGCAGCGAACTAGAACCAGAAAAGGGATGAATGACAATGACCTTCAACTTTTGCAGAGTGACCAACATTGTACAACTTGAAAACACGCGCTGATTAAAAATATACGCCTTTCACATATACTTGCATTGGGTAGAATTTCCATTTAATGACAGTAGAGTTTAATAACTCTATCAGCACCAGCAGTGAATAGCCAAGGCAGGCTTGGGTGGAATTTACAGTCCAGTATCCCTGCAATGAAGTGAAGTCAACTTCAAATGTAGCGAAAGATTTTTTTTTTTTAAAAAAAAAAAACCTCAAATTGCCAAAACATTAGTATTCCCAAATCAATAGGATGTTTAAGTTCGTTTTCCCACTACATTAGCTAGCTTCTGGAGGTGAGTTTCTCACCCCACCTGAATACCCTTCCTTAAGCTATAAAATTGCCTTTTGGTCCTGGTCCCACTACTACATATATGAATATGACTTAGCTCTCTGGCCAGAGCTGCTGCTGCTGCTGCTTTTTTTTTTTTTTTGGGTTTTAAGTCAGGTTGATCTAATTCTAAAAGGTAATTAGAACAGTCAAAAGGATGGAATGGAAAAGAAAAAAGTGGGCAGGTTCCATGTGAAATGACATTCATCTCCCTAATTTTCAAATTTACAACATAATGGTAATAGAGATATCATAGTCAATTTCCCATCTTTTAACGTCTCATTTCCCGCCTTATGCCTCAGGAGCATAGCAAATGTATATCGTAAAAGTTCTCACCTCTTCCATTTGAACTTGTATGGCCACGGAGAATTTCCAAAGGAACAATAAGAGGGTCTTGATTGAGATCAGAATAAACCATTCCATGAAAAACGTATGCAGTGCTGTCATCTGAACACGAAGCAAACAACGGGTATGATCGATGAAAGACCACATTGTTGACATCTTTTGGGTGACACCTGCAAAGTTGCAAGAGTATTTAAGATCATTGTCATGACATTAATGTCTAGCCAGGTTTCTTTGTCAACCAAATGAGTAGGAAGTATTTAAGGTCCACACTCGCCCATAATTGGTTGAATGGTGACACCAAAAGAGAGAGAGAGAGATCATAGGGGCCAAAACTTACTTAAGAACTCTGTAAGGTTTAGATGAAAGATCCATATCAAACCAACACATCTTCCCTTCTTTACTTCCCACAATCAGATTATCACCTGAAAGGAATGCATCGACAAGAAACTATGATGATTAAATTTCTGACAATATGACCACAGGAAAAGTATTTAAAAAGTATAATTATCATGGTAGAACAATAGTAGTCCTACCTGCTGGATGAACAGCAATGGAGGAGGCTTCACGAAGTCCAGTATCAAGCTTTTTTATGAGCTTGGTCTTCAACAGATCATACACACGGACAGTCTTTTTAGTACAAACAAAGAAGAAGGAACGGGTTGGATGGAAAGTTGACCTAACAGCAAGTCCATGCAACTTGAATGGAAGCTTTTGCGTAAGCTTCTTTGATAACTGGTGAATCAGAACCGCTCTTGACTCACGTAAAGAACATGTTAAGAAAAAGAATGAGCTGATTCCTGATTAAATGTTGTATTTTAAAACTTTTTATGCAATCAATGATCTTAGAAGGAGAGTATAAGCTAAAATATGGGCATAAGATCCAATAAGTACAGTTTGTTTTCAATATGGTCAAAGGATTAAGCATGCAGACACTTGAATTGGTTACATGACATGAAAAATAACATATCAAACTTAAATGGAATTTCTTTGTGTGCATTAGACGTGTCAAAAGGCTTCTGCACCTAATACATTGCTCGCCATGACACAGCCAAGTTAAATTATAGGAAGAAATCTGTTCAAAACTCAAAAACACATAATGTTAGACATGTCAAATGCTAATGCAAGTATGAAAATGTCAGAGTAAGGAAAACAAGCTTGGACACATGCATGATAAAGTGGGCCCATAAAAAGGGAAAGTGACCGGAAGTATCAAATAAAACAACAAAAAATTCATCTTGACAAGATATAATAAGTTCATTCCTGTGCCTTCTTTTTGTACATGAATAATATAGTTGAACACCTTTTTTAATACTTTTTTGAAGTTTGATTGTCTTAGCTGTGCTAGATCAGACAGAAAATAATTTAATATTCTCAGAGGTGATTATCACTACGAGATAGAGATATGTCATCCTTATCAAGTAGTCGTTAAAAAAATAAATGGTGTATTTATAACTATTAATTTAGACTTGGAATGTAAAGAAAACCCCTAAAACTGAGGCAGCTCAAAAAAAGGATATCAGCTGGAATCACTGTTGAAAAGTAATCACCTTTTCGGTGCCATTCTACAGCGGAAACAGTCTACATAAACACATAAATTGGTGTCAAATAAAATTCCACTACTTCAATCCAACAGGCAAATTAAAATGTAATCGTTCTGGAGACCAGCATGAAAATACCTTAAAATGCCTTAACCTTAAACCTTCGTGTTTATTATCTTGAAGCCAGCTCACACTAGGGGTTATGCTGTCTGTAAACACGAACAAAAGGTAAGAAAATAAGAAAGAGCAATGGGCTTGGACCATTAGAAACAATGTGCTACTTAAAATCTTGAGCCTACATCATCCTTTATTGATCAGTTAATTTTCAATTCCAAGCTTAAATTTGTTCAACTTCAATTAAAAGTGCAGTTGGTGCTCCTTGCATTGCATTAGTTTGAAGCAAAATAATGATTTGTTGAAATGACTTGAGCTACCTTTTACAATAGAGTGAAAGTATATTCTGTAGTGCAAAACAAACTTAAATGTTTACACTAGTCCAGTCGCTAATCTTTTATCTGAGAATTCTTATGGAACATGAGTAGGGACCTCATGGAACCTTCTTTTAAATAAGTTTTTGATGTACGTTGAAGAAAGAAATTATAGCAAACACTAACCTGAGTTATCTGGTGCAGGTGACTCAACATGGAGAAGCTCACAAATCTTTTTCTGCTCTTCTTCATCCCCCAAACCAGCATTCAACATAAGTAAATCTTGTCCCCTGCAGAAAATTTTCTGTTGACTCATACATAACACCAAATCCTAACGCTATTCAAGAGCCAATCCTCATAGTATCTATGACAAAATAAAACACTTTACAAACATTGAAACCAGACATACACAGAGACAGCAAGAATACGCATATCAGGCAAAGGATTCCAAGCAACACAGGTAACAGCTTCACCAACCTCCCACCGTCTAAGACATCTACCAGTTGGAACATCCCAGAGACGAACAGTTCCATCACTTGAACCTTTAAAGAAAATAGTATAAGAAGACCCATTTCCATCCCTGCTTCACATAAACTAAAATATATTATCATCACTCATACCTGATGCCATCCATTGCCCTGAAGCTTCAACAGAAATTGATGTAACGGCATCTTCATGACCTTTGTACTCAATATAGCATGCCACGGGTAAGGTTTAAGATCCTTTCGACTTGGAAGCTTTGGCTTCAAAGATTCAGGATCAATATTAAGCTGGAACACACCAAAAGATAAAGTATAAACTATTAAAATATTGATTTTAAAAAAATGATTTTGTAAAAATTATACACCTTAGAAACAACAAATTGATTATTTTTCAGTCTGGTAATTCACTCACACGTTTCTTTCGAACTCGAGGGCACAAGAATAGATCCAAACAACGATCAAAGCGTTCCTTCATATAATTCTCATATGCAGGGATGCTTCTTAGAGATGTAAACCTGGAAAAATTGATGTTTATTAGCAAACTTAAAAAAAGGTTAAGAAAAATCTGCATTCCAAATTCACAGTACCTTTTAGGAATAAACTTAGGGCGGTCTTCCTCATCCATCAACTGATAAGAATTGATTTCTTCTTGGGTTGGAATGTACTCTAAAGGAGGATTGTAAGACTCCTCGTGGCCTAAGAAGCATAATCAAGTTATATTTCCTATGAAAAATAACTCAAGATAAAATCTATTAAATTTCTTTCCTGGGGCAAAATTTAATTAAAAAAAGTTCAACTTTTGAACTCCAAAGCCACATCAGTACCAGGAACTTTTGGCTTTGGTGCAGGAATGTAAGCCAGATGATTTGATTTTTCTGTTGAACCAGAATCATCCCCCCACAAGAGATAGGGACCATCTTCCTCCTTTGGCTTGTCAAAAGTTATTAATCCCTTACGAATTGCTCTAACATACCTCACAACCTGTAAAATGATATAATGTGTGCATAACAAAGGAAACCACCGATTGATCTAGCGATAATTCATCACCACACTAGCTGTATCATATATACCAGAAAAAGGAAATGAAGGCAAGCTTACCTTTCTAGCTTCCCATTTTGAAGGTATAAATCTTCTTTTTGGTTCAGGTGCATTAGACAATGGATGAATGGCATCATCCCATTTAAACCAGTCAACATAATCCTGAAAAGATTCATTAAGAAATCAAACTAAAGAACAAACATATTATATACGAATTGCTAAAAATATAATTATACAGGATTGAAAGCCTTGAAAAAAGATAAACACAAATGGATAGTAACTACAGACCGGATATGGATCAAAGTCAGCATGAGGTGCTCGACCATCGATCAGTCTCGAGAAGATTTTGGCCTCTTCTTTGGTCATTTCCACTACCTCATCGTTGAGCTCATCATAGTACTTACGCCTTAAATTTTCAAGAAGATATAAATTTAACATATTTTTCCAGAGAGAAGATAACATCAATAAAACTAAAAAGCTTATTTTTCCACATATAGATACAGGGAAAACATAATCATCGGTTTCTATAGTTTTATCAGATTTTTCTTTTAGCTCCTGTAGTTTTTTTTCAGTGTCTATAGTTTTAAAAAGATTGAGTGACATTTGTTTTTGAAGTCCCTATAGTTTCAGTTTTTTAGTGTATTTAGTTTCTATAAGGACTGAAAACACTACAAAAAACTACAGTGACTAAATGTAAAATCCGATGAAACTATAGGAACCAAAAATTATATTTTCCCACACACACTACCAGAGAAACAAATACAGGATGATACAAGTATCTTCATAGATCATTGCCAACAGAAAATCATCTAAATACAAATGAAGCGAATAACAAAAAAATAGAAATATCAAACTAACCAGCTGCTTGGATCATCAGTACTTGCAAGATAGGAATCTAATTTGTCTTGCTTTTCCCTCTTCATTATCTTCTTCCCCTTGAAATCATATCCAATATGAGGCTCATCTTCATACCACTTCAAAGGGACATCTCCAATGGTATTACGGGGAGCCACCTATCAAAAGGCAAGATAAAGTATGTATAAACTCAAGCTCGGTTAGAGGAGGAGAACTTGGACAAAAATAAGTCACCTATAAGATAATGATCACCTCATCTTCTGAAGAATCACTCTCAACTCCCTGATGAATTTCAGAGTCCTCACTTCCATCTTCTTCACCATTAACATCGCCAGATGCATGACTGCCGCCTGTGGTGACAAAGTCCTGCCATGGTAACTGCTATACATATTGGTAACAGCAAAGCAAAGGGTAGTACAGTTCCAGATAACATTCCTTAAAACGTCAAACAAGTTCCAGTTTCTACACTCATACAGCATTGACAAGGCTGCTAAACACAATCATAATGTACCTCATCTTCAGACGATCCACTTTCTCCAGCTTCTGAATCCTCGGAGTTATCATCCGCCAAATGATCCTAGATTTTTTTACCAAAGAATAAAAGATAAGTATTCTTCATTACGTCGCAAGACTATAAAGTAGGCCAAAACAATAGAAAAGCACCTCATTCCCAGATAAACCACTTTCTCCATCTTCAAATTCCGATGATGTATCTGAATACTCTGACCCATGATCTTGAGAAGAATCCTAAAATCAAAAAGTTGGAGTTCAAACTAATCTATTTAGAACTTTACAAGAGAACGACCCAATGAAAATAACAAAAACATGAAAATACCTCATAACCAGAGTCTGAACCAGACTCCACTATTTGTTGTTGGGATTTCTGAGCTTCGTCGTCGAGTTTTGAATCCTTCTTCATCTTGCTGTCAGTGCTATGGAGTTTCGGGATGGTTTCGGGAACTTGCCGCCGCAGTGGAGGCGCCCGACTGGTTTTGGTGCTGCGCCCCGATGAAGCGGTCCATGTTTATAATTTAAAGCTTTCATTTTCATTTTTCATTTTTTATTTATTAAAATAAAATATAAAAATTATTAAAATTTTATATTTAATATAAATGATTTAATTTAATATTAAATTTATGATAAATTTATTATACAGTTACTCTGTATAATTCAAATTTAATATTATAATTTTAAAATTATTTATTTTAATAAATATAATATTAAAAATAAAAATAATCTCTACCTCAAACTTTTTAAAAAATATTTTTAAAAAAATTATCAATTATAAATGTTAAATTTAAATTATTAAAAATAAATTTAGATAGTCAGTTTCTAAAAATAATAATTTCTGTAAGATATACAACAACATTTCAAGATATATTTGATGGAAAAAAAAATATTATTGCTACCATTAGACATATAAACATATTGGTCTTATAATATATATATATATATATAAATATAATAAACATAGAAAAACTTATGTACTTGAAATTATTTTATTTAATTAAATTTAAATAATTAAATTTTAAAATATTGATAATATTAAAGATAAAAATTTATTATAAAATAAATAATATTTAAATCCACCTTAAGTACAACATATAGAAAAAGTCAAACATTATTTATAAATTATGTTTTGTTGATTTTAAACTTGTTTCCTAAATAATATTATGAAAGGCTCACTTAGCCAAAAGCATAGTAGACAAAATATTGCTACTAACTATCTACCAACTTAAGTGGCATAAGTAAACTTAGTGTGTCTGGGTATTTAATTTTTGACATTTGAAAAGGATTTTTAAAAATTTTAGAAAGTTCAAGTTGTTTAGTTTTTAAAATTTTTTTCAAAGTTTATTATAAACGTCCTTTTAAAAAGCTTTTGAAAGTCCTTTTTTCTTAACTTAATATGAGAAAGCTTTTGAGATGTGCTTTTAAAACATGGCTTGCCTTCATTTTTTATATGATCATAATACCCAAGATTTTTATACAAAAAGAAATTGCATGCAAGTTTTTGATAGGTCAAGTTAATAAAAATTCAGTTCCCAATTTTTTTTAAAAAATATTGTAACAAGATATTATATAGACTAAATAATTAATCATGTTAATTTTTAATATTAATATTATTGAATTATTTACATAATATTTGTTCAACATGTCAAACTTTATATATTTTATCCTTATTATTTAATACAAATGAATATTAATGAATGTTGAATTATTTATTATATAATTTTTTTGATATTAAACTTTATATTTTTATTCTTATTATTTAACATATTAAATTTTATGTTATTTTAATTTTTTTCACATTTTTAAACATTTCTAGTATATTACATTTATATAAAAAAATTATAAATTATAATAAATCAATGTACTTTTTCGTCATTGCATATTCAAAAGCATAAATTATCATTAATCTAAACAAATTTTAGTTTAATAAACTAATTTTTTAAAATTTATATTCAAATATAAATTTCAATACAACAATTAATTTTTATCAAATAAACTTTTAATAAATGAACTTTTGACAAATTAAAAATTAAACACATATTTAAACTAGTAACAGCTTTAAGTATGGTCTATTTCTTGTATTCAGCCAAAAAAAAAAATCTTACCTTTTTTATTTTCTAACGTGACTTTCGAAAAAAAAATACTAACATGATTTTTTTTAATAATTCACGCATCTCGTACTCTATAAAAAAATTCTAAGTACATTTATATTCAATTAGCAACTAGTTAAATATAGGCAAGCATATAAATTTGTATATTTATAAACATTTATATCTTGAATTAACATTTGTATTGTATAATTTTTTATCAAAAAAGGAATTTATCTAACAAGACAATTAATTTACGGTACTCTTTTAGGGAAAAAAAATATTATAGGGAAGACAAACCATCTACCGCATTATGTCTTTTTTACCCCTTTGAGATCAGACATTACATAATGCAAGACTCAAAAACAAAAACAAAAAAACAAAAAATAATCAGACCAGTAAAGTTATTGTATTTTGAATGTTTAGCCTCATGCCTGCATTTTTTTTTTTTTTGGGGGCTGAATTAATAAGAAGTGATTCCATAAACAAGAGTTACATAGTGTTCTCTCAAAAAGTAAGCTTCTTTCATCCTCCTCCATCTCTACGCACTATGAGGGAGAATGATATCCAAATTTATGATATGCCACCACCTGATTGTAAGAAGCTTTTGTATGCTGATATGACCAAAATGATCTTTTCGCACGGTTTTTCTTTCATGGCTTTGTATTAAAAAAGGAGGGAGAGAGAGAGAGAGAGAGAGAGATACAGCTTTACTTGGACATATCCTGAACACGTTAGGCTATTAGCTAGAGAATAGGCACATCTAACAAAGTCCCCATATGCAAAAATAAAATTTACAGAGACCAATTCCTACTAGTAAGTCTCTAGTAATTAGATTGATGGCCTGAACATAATCTGACGAGAACTCCACCTTCTTGAATCCTTTTTTTCCAGCAAAGTCTGAGTCCGTGGATGATTCCTTAGATTTCTGTGATTGCCAAAGGGAGAGGTTCAGTTTTGTCACAGAAAGCCAAAATCCAACTCCATTAGCCTTCCTAATCACTCCCCCGCAAGTGCTATGACCATACTGGTCCACAAATCCACCAGTTTCCAGTATAATGGACTCACCAGCTGAAGCAATATGATGCTGTACTTGTTTTCTTCCTTCAGGTTTCAGCTTGCAAGAATGCATCATTTGAAAGTCCTGCTGGCCAAAAATAAAAAAAAGGACAAAGATAAGTCCAGCTAGAGCACTTCCAACATGTAAGCGTATGTTTGGTTTTTAATTTATAAAAAGTTTACTTGATAAAAATTAATTTAATAAAAATCAATTGTTATAATGAAATTTTTTTTGGATATATTTTTTTAAAAGTCAATTTGATACACTAAAAATTATTTGAATTATAATGGTGAAATGTATTTTTGAATACACAATTACCAAAAAGAACATTAATTCATAATAATTTATAACTTTTATTATACAAATGTAATATATTTAAAATATTTTAAAAGTGTGATAAAAATTTTAAATAACATAAAATTTAATTTATAATGCTAAAAACTTGATCTCTAATTATTTATATTTTTTAATTTTAAAAAATGTGATAAAAATTTATAATTTTTATTATACATTAACGTTAAAAATTAACATAATTAATTATTTAATTTATAATGCTAAAAACTTGATATCAAATTATTATTTAAATGATAATTATATTTTTAATAAATTAACTATTTTTAAATAAAACAATAAGATATTAAACTCAAGATAATATATTCAAATAAGATTTTACTTTTTAAATTCACTTCTCAAAAGTAACAAAATGAAGCTTTAAAAAAAACATATTTAACTCATCCCAAAAAGACTTTTAAAAAATACATTTAATCTTATTAAACTATACCCAAACAACTATTCATATTCCAAAAGTGAGAAAATGCTTTTGGCATGTAAAAATTTCTTTCCATTTTTCTTACACTAGCTGACAGACTCTTAAGCTACGTTTGGTTCAAAGGGAGGGGAGAGATAAATCCCTCCAATTTGGGGGGGGGGTTTGTAGGGAAATTTTCCCTCCCCTCCTCTCCCCTTCTTCCCAAACAAACAAGCCCTAAGTAAATGCATCAAATTCTCCTCTTCACTGCAAAAAAATAAGACCTCTTCTCTTGATTTATGCCTGCAATGTCTACTCTTCTTTCTATTTTTTTTTTTCCAGATTTATGGTTTCTTTTTTTAATTTCAATTTGCATACCTCATACAATTTTATCAAAACGAATTCATGAAACCATAATAATTAGTAAATAATTACAAAGATATGGAGGGACGTTCAAAGCTTTCCAAAATTTAAAAATATAAAATGATATATCAACCTGCAATAAGTAAAAAAAAAAATGATGATGCTGTATATAAACAAAAATTGCTTTCTAAATAATTGATCAGTATTAATACGCACTGAGTTACCTAAGAATCAATCTCTCTCGTCAGTGAAAATAGTACATGAGTCGTCGTTAGGAGCTCCCATCTAAATCTTGAATAATTAAAATTGAACATTTTAAAAATTAGCCATTTGTATCTCAACAAAATAAAATAATTAATGAAGCGATTTTCTAAGTAATGGACATTGTTGAAGTAGAAAGCAAAGAATCCTTGTAACTAAAATTAAGAGATTACTTGTATCTTCCTTGTGTTTACAAGAAAAGGTTGCTTCAAAGCCACTAGCGGCGGGCAACAGAACTTGAAGACCTCATTTTCTCTCGAGTCAGTATTCCATAGGAATGAGCCACCGTCAGTATAATCAAACAGTCATGAATGGCTTTCTATTACTGTACACTTGATTCTGAAAGTTTTCAACTTTTAAGTTGTTTCAATTTCTCAAGAACCTGTTTCATCGATGGCCGAATAGAAAGCGTCTCCACTGTGCAGACTAACGCAACTTTTAAAAGCCCCAACAGTTTCTCCTCAGGTCCTGCTTCCCTCAAAGCAGGTGAGAACAGTTCAGAAGAACGACCTTCAGTCATTAGCAACTTAGCCCACGAGACAATATTGAACCCATTTCCATATTCAGAAAAAGATGGATCGAGAGACTTTCTTCCAGACATTAATTCTAGTAACACAACACCAAAGCTATAAACATCTGCCTTGTCTGAAACCCTGCAAGTGGTGGCATATTCAGGCGCAACATACCCAAATGTGCCTGCCACATCAGTTGTGGCGTGGGTCTCATATACCTCCATGAGTCTAGCCAATCCAAAATCTGAGAGGTAGGCATTGCAATCCTCGTCCAGTAAGATGTTGCTAGGCTTGATGTCACGATGAACTATACGAGGAACGCAGGAGTAATGAAGGTAAGCTATGGCCTCTGCTATGTCTATTGCTATCTTGTAGATAATTGGCCACATGTTTTTATCTGAATTGTTGTGTATGAACGTTTCAAGGTTCCCACCTGAAAGGTAGTTGTATATCAAGAACATTTCGGCCTCTCCTACGTAGTAGCCAATCAGAGTGACAAGGTTTTTATGTCGGATTATCCCTAAGGTTCTTATCTCTCTCTCAAACTGTTGAATGCCTTGGAATCTCCCTAAAGACAACCTCTTTATGGCAACAAGGAAACCAGGGGATAGTTCAGCCTTGTAAGTAGACCCAAACCCACCAGTTCCAATTAGATTTTGGAGGCTGAAATTTCCTGTGGCTATGACAATGTTATCGTAACTGAGTTCAATTGGAACATCTTGGAAGGTCACTAACAGCCTGCTTCGAAGGCTACTGAGCCGACCAAACTTGTACCTTCCAAAAGTGATCACCAAAACTATACCCAGTACACAGAGAACCATGAAGACTGAAGAGACCACAGCTATTATTACTATCTTCAATTTTTTTGGTCTATGCCTATTTTGGACTTCAACAGGAATTGGGAGAGAAGTAGGGGAGGCAGAGTATGGATCAGGGCATGAATGCAGGTGTACATTCCCCTTGTAGGAGTCACAATCACTAGGGTGAAAAAGATGGGGAATATGACCAGACAGGTTGTTGAAAGAAACATCAAAATCAACAAGACAGGAAAGAGTGGAAAAGGATGAAGGTATTTCCCCATTGAGCCTGTTGTGATCTAGCAACAGAGTTTCAAGAGTCGTGGCGCTTGTCAAACTTGCAGGAATAGTGCCACTAAGAGCATTGTGAGATAGATCCAAAACAACAAGGGGAGCCAATTGACCAAGTTGAAAAGGGATTTCTCCAGTTAAATTGTTTCCTCCTAAAAGCAGCCATTTCATGTCTTTCAGGTTTCCCAATTGATCAGGCAGAAAGCCAGTAAGTTTGTTCCCTCTCAAATCAAGGCGTTGGAGCATTGCATAGTCACCAATATGCGGATCAATTGAACCCCTAATCTGGTTGTACGCAGCCTCAAACTCTGTCAACTGCAAACAGTCAAGAAGCAATTTTTGGGAATTCCCACCTGAGAGCTGGTTCACACTCAAGTTAACCTTTAACATCTTGAGATCATTACAGTTTGAAACCAGATGATATGGTAGAGGTCCACTGAACTTGTTATTATTCATTGATAGCTTGTAGGAAATCTTACTGTCTGCAGTATCTCCTAGTGAGAATGAAGGTAAAGATCCCGTAAAGCTGTTCCAGCTGAAATCATGGTTAATGACAACATCATCTTCTGAACCTGATCCAGTGAGAGCACCCATCAAAGATCTCCAAACTAGAATATCAACATGTGCATCACCTGGGATTCTGATTAAATCACAGCTTGCCTTCCCAAATCCTGGAAGTATGCCAGATAGGTTATTCCAGCTGACGTTGAAGTACATCATACATGGAACTTGAAGCTGCTTTGAAGGAAGATACCCCACTAAATTGTTAGAGCTCAAGTCAAGGAAAGTTAAATTTCTGCACATCCCCAAGGTTTCTGGTATGCCCCCAATAATATAATTCTCTGCCAAGTTGAGTACTCTCAGCGAGCATGAATCTGTCCAGCCCCTAGGCAACCGTCCGCCAAGATTCGCTCTTGGTGCCCATAAAACCTCTAAACTTGAAAGCAACAACACCTGTGGAGGAATGTTTCCAACAAAAGCATTGAATTCTCCTCTGAAGCTATTCACCAAGCTCTTATTAGGGGAAGCATGATCGTTTAAATCAGTCAACACAAGCACTGACAGTTTCCGGCAGTTGCCTATCTCTTTTGGGATCCTTCCCGTGAGACTATTTCTAGAGACATCTAGCAGTCTGAGTTCCGTAATAGACCCAATCCCGGAAGGGACACTTCCTTCCAAGATATTCCCATCGAGTAAAAGCGTCCTCAAATTTCTGCATTTCCCGATTTCGGAGGGGATTTTGCCTGTAAAGAAGTTGTGGGACAGCTTCAAATGATTCAAAAATTCAAAGGCAGTATTGAAACTACCTACAATTGAACCGGAAAGCTGATTATTCGACAAGTCAATGACGCTAGCATTTCCAGAGCCAACCAATTTACTGGGCATAGAACCGGACAATGCATTATTAGAGAGGTTAAGAATGCGAAGAGATGGAAGATAACTTATTTGGCTAGGGATCCTCCCAGAAAAATTGTTTCCTTGAAGCTCAAGAACCTCGAGAAACCGAAGTTTCCCCAGACTCTCTGGGATCTCACCGGAGAACATATTGAGGGGAATGGACAAAACTCGAAGCTCAGACATGTCTCCAATGGAAGAAGCGAGCTTGCCGCCGCGAAGTCCAGTCAAGTTCAAAGCAATAACTCTGCCAGAAAGCCTATTCTCGCAGGTGACGCCGTGCCATTGACAGTAACTTTCAGAAGACTCCATACTCCATCCAGAGAGAAGGTCCGAAGATTCGGAAGAGACAGAGTCCTTGAAGCTGAGAAGGGACAATGCATCGCTAGGGACCGAAGTAGCAATAGCTTCTGAGCAATGGGCGGTGAAGAGAAAGACAAAGGCAAGAAAAAGAAGAGTAAGAAGAAGAGCCATATTCGATCCGGGAAGAAAGCAATTCGGCCTTTTCAAATACTAATTTATCAGTCAATCAATCATGGTAGCCAGATTCTCGATACCGCTTAGATCTCTCCCCAATGACGAGTTCTCCACCGGCCAAAAAACAGCAGCGAAGAATGACGGCGGCGCCGGCAGTGACTAGAAGTGAAAAGGGAGTGCTTGTGTCAACTGTCAAGAGTAGCAGAGTCAAAAGAGAAGAAGACAAAGGTGCAAGAGTGAGGCGGAGACTGTCCCAGTGGCTAAAAACCGAATTAAAGTTGAAAAGCCAACCCTGATTTACAGAAAATAACTAAACATGAAACTATTACCTCATGACCAGAGTCTGAATGAGATTCCACTCTTTGCCGCTGAGATTTCTGAGTTTCGTCGTTCAGTTTTGAATCTTCCTTAGTCGAGATTGGTTTCGGGAAAAGGTTAGGGGCGCCACATCATCATCATCATCATCATCATCATTAATTGCATGAATCCTTAACTGATACGAAAAAAAATTTAATTAGTTTTTCTTATTTTAAATTAAATTTTATAATTCATTTTATTTTAACTAAACCCTGATGGTTTGATCTATTAAATTTGTTAATTCTTGAGAATTAAAATCTTGAAATTTTTTTCTTTCAAAAGATAATTAAAAACTTGAAATTAATGTGGACACCACATGGAGTGCCGTCTAAACATTTTTTGTCAAATAAAATGACTTTAAACATCAAAGTTAATGATAAAAGTAAAATTTATTTGGTTTACATGTTTAGGGGAGACATTCACCCAAAATTAATTTTAAGACATCAGCTGTCCCTAATACTTCAAGTACAAAAGTAACATTTAATTCTTTTTTTAATTCATGTACCTCTTATATCTTTGAAAAAAATTAAGGAATAAGGTGCAATTTTGTCATCAAACTATTTTCAAAAGAGCAATATCATATTTAAACTATTCATCATAGTAATGTTCTCCCTAAATTAATTAAATTGAAGTGATGTTATTTCCGCTGTTTAAAAATCATAAACATTCGTTAATTATAACTCGTAAAACTCACTTTTTATTATATCTCTTTAGTTAACGGATGTTTATAATATTTAAACAGCGAGAGTAACATTGTTTTGATTTAAAAAAGATTAATAAGAATATTGCTATGATGAGTAGTTTAAAGGTAATATTGCTTTTCTAAAAATAATTTAAAACAAAATTGCACCTTAACCAAAAATTAAGTACATATGTAGGAGCAACAATGACAAGTTAAATATATGCAAGTAAACCAATAAAGATTAGTCAAGATGGTAAATGTTTAACAAATAACTTACAAAATTGTAGGATTAAATTCCATTGTCGATGTGAAGATTTTATTGATAGGGCGCTTCTATGACTATGAAAACTCTTTGAACTTAGAGACATAAAATACCCTAGCCTTAGTAACCGACAAAACCCTAAAACTCAACTCACCCAATTTTTTTTTTCAATGAAATATACATACATACATACATACATACATACATACATACATATATATATATAAGTAGTTTTTTATTACACACAAGAGCCATTCTATTAAAAACAATCATGTTTGAAACACAATTGAATATTAAATATAAACACCCTAATTGAGAGGGATTCAAGCATTCTAAGGAACTAAACTCTTTCATTAGAGCCAATGCTCATTGGTAATATTTGTAATTTGTTGGTAGTTATACACAAACATAATTACAGGGATATGGAAATTTAAAGCTTTAACCTGCAATATATACATAAATGGAAGATATAAAAACATTTAACTGGCGTCAAAAATATTCAAGTATTTTCCATATTTCAATATGATGTTGACTTGGCATTTGGATGTATTTCATACGAGAGTGACATAAACCATAAAATATATACCAAATGGCATCATTTTTATATTACATCAAGCCCAGTGCAAATTGTGTCTGGGCTGACACCTCATAGAAAACCAACAAGCATTAAATGAAACATGAGTCAAAAAAAAAAAAAACAATATGTCAATTCACAACACATAACAAAGTTTTATAATATCAAATAGCCGTTAATATTTCCAACAAAAAAACCACATTACTTGATCAAAATTAAATTTACAATGAACAAATTTAAAACATTTCTAGAAACTTAGGAAGCATCTCTAAACCCAAGAATAAAAAGTTCATCATCCTTAAGCAGAACAACTAGATGGGATCTTAGACATAATGCGTTTCCACATTAAATGCCCCATCGTGGATTTGGAATCAAAACCTGGGCTTTGGTCATCATCTTCATCTTGAGGCTTTCACAACAGAAATGGAAGTCCTTCCTTGTGGCTATAGCAGTAAATAACCTGAAAAAAAGGCTCTCCACCATTTGAACACTATCTAAGTAGCTTACATTCCAAGTTTCGAGAGAAGCCGACGCCATCTTGGAGTTTCCTCATCAAAAATATAGGTCAATGGCGATATGAGAACTCCACTGCCGCCAATCTGCATCGAATGGATCGAGTCAATGTAAAACTAAACTGACAGATTTGGATCCTCCAAGGTTCGGACACTCAATTCAACAAAGCAAGCATTGCAGTAATATGTCATACAGAATGACAAAAAGTTCTGAGAAGATCCAACAGATTAAAGATGAAGCTCATAACCCCTTTGCCAAAGACCATAAAACTCGTATTACTGTTCAAAACAGCGGTAAAGAGCAGCTGGATTTACCAAAATAATGGTAAACCGGCACTGGTCCACGCAAAATTCATATAGATTAAAGTACGTCTCCATATGTGCTATAGAAATTGTGTCATCTAAAGCGATACCTTCAGGTGAGGATGGAAAATTACAACTCTAGATGCCAGAGGACATGTAACGGACATGATTTAAATACACCTCCCTTGTCTATCCATTCAAACACCCAACATCCCAATAAAGACAGTGAAAGAAAATTGGAGGTCCTATGGATGGACTCACCGCTCTCAGTTGCTGTATAGACTTGTATAGTTCTTTTTTCGGCACACATATGACAATGGCATAGTAGTCTGCTGATACCTTCCCATCACGTTTGCAGAAAACAGGACTTATAGTAGGTCCCTGTAGATAATCAATCAAGTGCAACTCTTTAAATTGAGAGAGTTATGGTTAAAAACATAACGTTACTCATAGTTACGACAGCAGAGTATGAAAAAAGTTTGCGATTACAAAATGTAAATGCCAGAGGGATATGTTCCCTCCTGCTATCCCAAATGATACAAGCACAAGGGTTGGATTATATTGTACTCAATATCATACCTGCAAACCAGATAAGGATGGCTGACTCAATATTCTCTCAGCCACTTCCTCTGCACTACTTCCTCTCATGTTTGCAGTAACCTGTCAAGTATGGCATCAGAAAATGGGATAGAAGAGCCCAAAAAAAAGTCAAACAGATTTACGAGAAACGGATTATAAATTTGATGTATGCACCGTGAACTGTCCAAGTGCCCTCAGATGTGCTTCCAATCTTTCAAGTATCTCATGAGTTGTCTCCAGAACTCCTTTCCTTTGCATCATGGATTTCCTGCTTGCAATAAGGGCAGCCTGAAAAACATTCAATTGCACAAATGAGATAAGCCTGATATATGCCATTGCTGAAGCGGTTGCCTGGTGCATGCAATTTGCAAAGGAAATTGTGCTAAGAGAAGACAATTGTTAACCTGACTTTCCAACACAGTTCCTCCTTCAATTTCTTTCAAGTTGTTTTCTCTCAGCGTGGTCCCACTACTCACAAGGTCCAATATAGCATCAGCTATTCCCATCTAATTAAGAGCAAGAAATATTATAGATAAATATCACGTGGCAAATGGCTTTAACATCACTTTGAATTATTTAAGAACAGCAGTTAGTTACATTATGTTAGCTCACATACAAAGATACAAGATAAATGAACAAAGGATTATCAAATTATACCATCATCTATGTCATCCCTAAATATTAGGAGCATGTTTCCTTATTTTTACACATAGACATAGTGTTAGATCACTACTCATTAAGCTATAGAACAAATTTATGGCATCTATCAACAACCACTAAGTTTAACCAGCAACCAACAGTAACCCCCAACAAGAAAATAGTTATAACACAGAGTAGTTGAAGAAAATAAATTTTTCAATAGAAGTACAAGCAATCTCTCACCGCAGGTGCTGCTTCCAGTGCTCCATCAGCAGTAGAAAAAAACACATGTTTGATCCCATTCTCTCTCATAAATTTAGGACCTAGCTGAAAGGAACAAGATCATGATTCACTTTTTATGAAAAGATGGCAGAAGGAAATCTAGCAAAAATGAAAATCCTAGTAACATTGAATGAAACTCATACATAGGTGAATCCAGTAGCAACACGCAGAGGCCTTTCTTCTGTCCATTGAGGCATTTGTGCAAGCTCCTTCAGTGAATTTATATTTTCAAAAATTCCATATTGGGGAATCTGAAACAAGAGATGGTCAAGATGACTTGAAATAAAGCCAATAACGGAAGCAGCATGTGGCAGTAGGCCAAAACAAAATTTTAACTCACTGCAATGGATAAACGGCAATCTCCATATTCCAGAGCCTCATGTACAAGTATAAGATCTTCATCCCCCTGGTACATGTAAATCTTAAGATTAATATTTTGTGATAATCCAAAATGCAAGACATGACACAAGTACAATAAGTTAAGGGAGTGATAACTATAGAAATGTTGTTGATTCAACCATCAAGGGAAAGTATAATAACTATGGCCTCTCTATGGTGTTTAGCTCTTGGTGCTCTTTTTAAAAGGGAGTGATACACGTAGAAGGAGAAGAGAGACTAAGAAAGTAGTGATATCGTTCACTAGACACCGATTACATCTCTGAGGACCCTATTTATAGAGATATTGAGTATATTCCCAAACTACTTTTCTATGCATAATTACCTTACTATTCCTAATTCTCGTGTATCAGGGAATGTCTTCATTAGATATGCAAAGAGATTGGGCGCTTTGCTGCATTGAAAAGGGGATGGAAATGTGCTATGTTTCTTTTGTTCCAACAAAATGTTCTTCTTTATATTAAACCACATACAACCATTAGGGGACAAAAAAATCAGCATCAATTACCAAAATAATATAGTAGCATCTAAAAGAACGCACAAGGGAAACCTAAAACTGGAAAACAGTCAAGTCTTTATGCTTCAGGAGTCAGAAGAAAAAAATATGGATATTAAATGTAATCTCAAACTGGGAAGCACATTTAGTTAGAAACACATCAGGAAGCCTAACTTAAATCAACCATTTATATATCATTGTATATTTGAACACACCTGACCATATTCGCTGATTGTATCAAGACCCACAATACCAAGGTCAAGATCTCCTGATAACAATTTTCTTACTATATCTTTCGGCCTCTGAAACCAAACTTCCAAGTTGGAGAGCTGCAGAATTAAAAAACAAAAACAGATTTATGACCATTGAACTGGTCTGGCCTATAAGGAAAATAGCATTTATAAGTACTATTAAACACATGATATGAAAACGGTGAGAATAGTTGGCACGTGTTTTTACCAGCACGTCAGATGCTGGGTCAGTCTAAGAAAAGGAAGCAAAGAAAGGGCACAGATGACATGGAAAATATAACCAGTGTATATGCCTTCGGACTATATTGGCCATGCAGGTGCAATGATTTCAGCAATGTTTGATAAAAGTAAAAGAAAAAAAAAATCCAGATCATGGTCTCCATGTTCACCAAGGATGAAATGCCAGCAACTAGCCTATGAGTTTTCATGGCATTTAATTCAAGGGAATACCATACAACAATAACAACAACAAGAAGCCTTTATCCTACTAGGTGGGGTCGGTTACATAGATTACAAGACATCATTATGCTCTATCATTTACCAAGCTTTTAAAAATATTATTAATTAAGAGATCGTGTTCAACAACTTTCAAGAATGTTTTCTTAGACCTTCCTCTACCCCTCTTAATAGGGCTTAAAGTTATATGTTCCACTTTTCTCACTGGTACCTCCCAAGGTCTTCTTTGTACATGTCCAAACCATCTCAAATGATTTTCTATCATTTTTTTCTCAATAAGTGCTACCCTCACTTTTTCGCGTACGTACTCATTTCGAACTTTATCTTTACGTGTATATTCGCACATCCATCGTAACATTCCCATCTCTGTGACTCCAACTTTATGCTATTGCTGCCCTGTTAAAGCCCAGCATTCACTACTATATAACAGCCGATCTAATAGCAATATGATAAAACTTTCCTTTAAGTTTATTAGGCACCTTACAGTCGTAAATAACTCCTAAAGCTTTTCTCCAATTAAACCACCCAACTTGAATCTTATGTGAAATATCCCCACTGATTTCACCATCATTTTGAATAAGGCTCTCAAATATCTAAACTTTTTCACTTGAGATATAATTTGATCTCCCAATTTTATTTCCAAATTACTATCAACTAGTCTCTTATCAAATTTACAATATAAATATTTCGTCTTACCCCTATTCATACGGAAACCTTTCAACTTCAATATTCTCCTCTATAACTCAAATTTACAATTAATCTCTTCTCTTGTCTCTGCTATAAGAACTATATCATCTACGAAAAGCATACATTTGAGAATTTTCCCTTGAATATGCTCCGTCAAAACACTTAGGACCAAGTTAAATAGATAAGGACTCAAAAATAATCCTTGATGTAGTCCAATTTTTATAGAAAAGTGCTTTGTTTGACCAATAGACGTTCTTATACTAGTTTTTATCTCCTCATACATATCTTGTATAACTTTAGTATAAGCAATCCATACTCCCTTCTTTTTCAAGGCTTTCCAAAGCACTTCTCTTAGTATACAATCATAAGCTTTTTCCAAATCAATAAAAATCATGTGTAAATCTTTATCTTTACAACGATACTTTTTCATTAATCCTCTTAATAGATAAATCGCCTCTGTAGTCAATGTACCTGGCATAAAACCAAACTGATTCTCAGAAATACTTGTCTCTAATCTCAACCTATGCTCAATTACTTTCTCTCACAATTTCATTGTATAGCTCATGAGTTTAATCTCTCTATAATTAGTACAATTTTAAATATCCCATTTATTTTTGTAAATAGGAATTAATGTACTTTTCCTCCAGTCGTCAGGCATTTTCTTGGACCGTAAAATCACATTAAATAACTTAATTAAACATCGTACCCCTTCTTCACCAAAACATTTTCACATTTCAATAGATATACAATCAAGTCCGTTGGCTCTCCCATTTGCCATTTTCTTAAGAGCTTCCTTTATCTCTTTATCACTTATTATTTGATAGAATGACAAATTTTGTTCTCCTTTACGAGTTACTAAATCCTCCAAGTTACTAGACGAACCCTCTCCATCATTGAAAAGTTTAGAAAAGTAAGTCTCCCATCTGTTTTTAATTTCATCGTCTATAACTAAAATTATTCCCTCTTCATCCTTTATACACCTTACCTGTTTTAGATCTCTTGATTTTTTTTCCAACTCTTAGCAATCTTATAAATGTTTTGTTCCCTTCTTTTATCTCAAAACTCTTATAAAATTCTTCAAAAGCTTTAGAACGAGCTTCACTCATAGCTCTCTTAGACGGAGTGAATACCACAATTCAAGGGAATACCGGAGACGGAGAAAATTAGAATTTGCAGATAGATGCTCCTTCATGAATTATACAAAGTAATTGAAGGTTTTTGATGAATAAGAAGAGGTTAGTAAACCAACTGCTATTATGAGAATCCTCATCTTACAGTGTTGTCCATTCCATTTATAAAATCATTTCCAGGATGGGAAGACAAGACCTGAAATCGCCAGAGCAACCTTGGCATGCAAAAGAGCATTGCACGATTTAAATTTGACAGTAAAATTTGTACCCTAGCCTAATAACACCTTCAAATTCATAAATACTCGATATTAATGAGGACATCACTACTAAACAGCAGGAGCAGCCAGTACAACAAAAATCATCAGCAATAGAATAAGTCCACTAACACTTTAGAGTTCATACGATGGTATAAATAAAAATCAAGAAAGAAATGCAAACGCCATCATTATCCATCACTCATTGTGATGCCTCTTTTTAAGGCTTACATAAACAAGCTCTTTAGATGAATTGCTTCAAAATTAGAGTACTAGACTCAGAAGGGGAAAGAAGAGGGAAAATTGAAGAATGTGAAGATCATGACATCTAGGGAAAAATCTTAATATTTATACATGGGCAAATGCAGGCATGCATGGGCTCCATATGGTAGGAGGGAACTCAAACTAAATGGAACGCATTATGTCAGGATCGTTAACTGAAGAAGATTAAAACCATAAAATGCACCAAATCAAGGGCAAAGAGAAACACACCTGAGGAATTTCAGCAACATACTGTCTGGGATTAACTTGTTTAACTGACAATTGACAATCCTTTGCAAGATAGATCATCCAAAAAAAAAAAAATTGTCAGATTTTACTTTTGCAAGAGATTGATGGGTAAGGAGACGACAATGCGCAAACTTGAATGTACACTAGCTTCTATCTTTATCTTCTCTCACTTTTTTTAATGACAAGTGCCAAGTATTACTAGACCACATAGGAATATAAAACTTTAAAGAAGAATATAAAACTTTGAAGAAATAAACACAAAGCATAAACCCAGATTCACACACACACACACACACACAACACTCTCTCTTATGACACTATTTGTACCCGATTCCCATATTTCCTTCCTGCTTCACAACTATTATGCATAGCATTTTCGAGGACTACAACTTAATAGAGAAATAGATGGAGATAGTAACATTACAAAATTGACAACAAAGCAAAACTAGCCTAATCTGTTTTCTGATTGAACAAAATATATAAGCTGTAGTTCAATTGCAAAATATGAAGACTCTGGAAGAAGCCCACCAAAGAAGAATAAGAAAATTACAAAAACAACTACAAAAAGAAAACTGGTTTTCCCGCATTTTTCTCATCAACCGTTAAGACCCCAGGAGCAGAAAATCCCAAGGTACCTTGAGAAGTTCAAGGGTATCAGCAGACATGCGACCTTTACTGGGCAAACCAAGACGAATCACTTGCCTCTCGGAATCTCTGCTTCCGGCGTTCCCATTGACGAAGGCAACCTGAGACTGAGACTGAGACTGCGAAGCGTAGCAGCGCGAAGTGGGAGATCTGAGTGAAATGTGGAAAGACATGGTTGAGAAACGAGGCTGGGTCGACAACCCCCACATAGCGACGGCCATTACAGAAGGAGGCTGGAGCTGGAGATGGGGATGATGGTTGATGATGACGCAGAGACCTGGTGAGAAGACAGAAACGGCGCCGTCTGGAAAGATGCGGAAGATTCCTTCGGGGAAAGATGATTGATATCTTCTTTTTGTGGTTTGTACTATGTAAACATGAATAATAGTAGAACAAGGTTAGTCGCTATAGTCTGTATTCGTGAACCAAGTGGCCTAATGGCTAATGCATTATGCAGAGAGATTTTTCTGTGGTAGTGTGGAAGGGAAAGGAAGTTTTCGGAGACTCGATCTCACTCAGTTCTGATTTTGATGGCAAATGACCATTTTTTTCCCTCTTTTTGGAAAGATGGTCGCAAAAGAAATTTTGGCCAACAAGAAAAGTTTGTTTTTTGTTTTGCTTCTTCACGCTCGTTTTTTATGTTGATAGAATTTTAATATAAGGCTAGGAAAGAGAGTTATTTATTAAGAAAGCCCAAAAAAATTTGAAAATACTCTCAAAAAATATTATCTGAAACAAAATAAAATTGTTGCCAAAAGTAACTGAAACATCCTTTTCCAAAATTTAAAAAAGGCAGCTGATTAAATAACTTGTTAACCTTATATAACTTTATTTGTTAATTCTATAACATAACTTTTTAATTACTTAACCTTACTTGTTAATCAATTATTTTAATTAATTTTAAAACAACACTTATTAATTTCATAACTTAACTTGTTACTATTATGATAAGACTTGTTCAATTTATTAACACAAAAGGCAACTAAAACACTTATTAATTATGTAACTTTATTTAATAATTCTACAATAGTACTTATTAATTGTCTATCATCACTTTGTTAAATAATACTTGATATCTTATTTGTTCAACATCAAAACCTATAATGAATTTATTACTTGTAAAATTATTATCTGAACGTGCAAAATATATAATATTATTTATTAATCAAATAACATTACTTATCAATTTACATTTCATCTCTAATTACAAATGAACAATCATTAAATACATTCCACTTCTACCTTCTTCTTAGATCATTGTTCCTATAAGGATACGTTTCCATTGATCTGATGAAAAAGACAAACTTTTCATGTTTGATGTGTGTCCATGTGTGGGGGGCGTTGACATGAGTTAACGCGGTCTAATTCGAGGCTTTAGTTCATGTTGTGGATTAAACATCTTTACGTTTGCCATTTGGTTTAACTAAGGAGCAATCGAAATCCACGTGAGTGGAAAATGAAAGGCCAGGAAACTAGGAACGGCCCTCCTTTGTCCACCGCTTGAATCAATTTAGACACTTATAGATTATAGATAACTAATTGCCTAAAAAAAAAATCCAAGAACTGAAGAATTTGGAATTAAAATTCATAAATCCAAGTAGACACACTTACATTCACCAGAATGAAGTATTGAATTCTATATAAAAACTAAAGCTCAAGACAAAGCAACATGAAGTTAAAGAAAATAATAGAAGTACAGGCAAAGGGCGTGAGACAAGCTAGAACGTTGATGGCGACTATTGCAACACTGTTGCTATCGCTGCCACGATGGCTCTCTTTCTCTCTCTTAATTGAAGCATTTGGTGTCCCTTGTTTTTGACACCCTTTGCCCGACTCTTCATCTGCGGCTATGCAGTTTCTGTATCTGTATCCCACGTCTTTCCGAGCGATGGCGGCAAAGCAGGAAAGCTCGAAGACTCGTCGGCGACGGCGACCGGACAGGATGCGTTGGAGGCATCCTCTGATTGTGTTCTAGATCTTGTCACTGGTTATTACAGGCCCATCAATCATTCCCCTGAGAACGACCCGGCCGAGCTCCCGCTCTTGCTCTTGAACTACAAAATCAGATCACCGTGCCATTTTTGCAGTCATTGTAGACCTGATAAGATCTTGTTCGGAATCTGCAGCATAAGGCCTTTTCAAGGAGGAAATTACAAAGGAGCAATAGGTCGGTGGTAATCGGCAAGGAAAGTGTTTGCTTTATCTGAAAACTTGTTTCTCGATTACATTATAAGACTCTGAAAAATGGAGGGCATTTGAATCTTTTGAGGATTAAAATTAATTTCATTTCAATATGTCTAGAGTGTAGTGAGATTTCAAATTTAAATGGATCTCATTTATAATTATATCACATCTAATTAAAATTCTCCCTTTTATTTTTGTTTCTTTGATTTAATTTTTTAGAGTAACAATTTTTTATGACTTATTAGGAATAACACACAAAAAATTATCAACAAAGATTAATCTAATTAATAAAAATTAGTTCATAATTTATAAGACTGTAAAATTAAATTTTATTATTAATGTGAAAACCTAGTAAGTTGATGATCTGTAAATATTTTTATAAATACTTTTAAAAATAAAACATATCTTATTTAAATAAATTTTTAAATTCAACTCACTTAAACTTCTTATTATAAAAAAAATACACAAACTTTTTACATCCATCATATCTTGTGTACATAGAATAAAAATAAAATATAATGATAGGAAAAGAATTTGAACAGTTTGATTAGGAAAGATGATAGTGGGGCCGCAAAACTTTAAATTAATAACAATTAGACTATGGCAAATTTTTTAAAAAATGAGTTATAAATGTTAATTTCAATAAATCAAAATTTTAAAATTTTAATTATAAATAAGATGTTTAAATTTTAAATATGATTATTAAATTGTATCTGAAATTTTTATTTATAAATCTGTAAATCAATATTTGCAACTTGTTTTTTCATAAATTTTAATTGAAAAATTAATTATCATTAATTTAATATTTTGAAATCCAATTCTCGTTCCCACTTTTAATTACAACATTGTCATTGTAAGCTTTTTATAAAAAAGTATCTCATTCACATGTTATAGACTAATTAAAAATTTTTCGTTGGCAAAAAGAAAAGGATTGATTGAGTTTTTTTGTTTATTGTATTTTAACTGTAAGTTACAGTATGGGTTCTATGTTTTACCGTGGGATTCCGCTTATTGTAAACAAGATGGCTTTTTCTTTAATAGATTTTACATTAGGTTTTACTTTTACTTTGTGCTTTTACTTTTGTATCAACTGAAATAGCTAAATATGGGCATCTTTTTCCTTTTTTTGGCTCACATATATTCTTATACCAGAATAATCATAATCGAAACATAGATGGAAACTAAATGTGCACACACATTTCAACATAAATTTAAATATTAATTTATCATGTTGTAAAAAATTAATCAATTTTGCTAAACTCAACCCCTCGTAGTATATAGGTATCTTCTTTTATCTACGTGATCAGATAAATGAGTAATACTAATATAACCTACAAGCATGGGTAATTGAGCAAACAAGCAAGAGGAAAAGATTAAGAATTTTCTTTGTTAGAAAATTTATAAATGAGTCTTTTAATTAAAACTTATTTATAAATAAATCTTATGAATTTCTAAAAATATTCTCAAATCCTTTGAAACTTGGTCAAAAGTAATTTTCCCTATAAAATAATACACATACCCTTAGATTACCTCCTTTTCACCGAAGTTAATGGCGGAGGATTAGGCTCTTTTAATATATAATAATAATACAAAGGTATTTTAGTAATTGAGCAGAAAAACATATTTACATTAAATAATTTGGGACTTTTAAAGATATTTTAACATTTCACAAGATTTTATTTTATTTTCATTTCTTGTGTTGGATTTCATAGTAATTCTTCCAATTATAAATAAGTCATTTAATTGAAGCTCATTTATAAATGAGTCTATTAAATTTGTGAAAATATTTTCAAATCTCTTAAAACTTAGTTGTAAAAAATGTTCCCTTTAAAATAATACATGTGTCCTTACATTACTTTCATTTAAGTGAAGATGACCGGTAATGACCAATGGCTAGCATTCATTGATGTTTATAAAATATTAGTATTTTAATACTTACAAATAAAATATAGTAGATTTACAAATAAATTTTTAAAATTTACAAATTAAACATCGTTTCTTTTTTTTTTTAAACAAAAAAAGAAGAAGGCTAAGAAAATAATGAATCGGACCCCTTCGACCCAAAAGGGAGGTACTTTGAAGCACCTCATGGAATATAGTGATTCTTGGATAAATATATTTGGAACGGAGGGAGTATATAGTGCGTACCATGTCTCGAACCCAAATCTTCTTGAAAGATCCGCAAAGGACATTCCAAAAAGCCAAGGGGAAGACTGGTGTTGAAGGTTGGCAATAACGTTTTAAGTAAGGAGTACGTGTTATCATTCCAAGATCCAAAATTTTTCCCCCCTTTTAACAATACCAAGGCTATGGAAATGAACAAGGCCGTGGGGACTGGATAGAAACATAATGGTCATCGTACTAATCAACAAGCAAACTAACGATTAAAAAAAAAATTCCTACAGGCTGTCGATGATCATATAATTAGATACAGACTTCAAATGGTGGGCTTGATTTGAAATTCATTCAGCATGAGTTGGATCATTCAACTCGTTAACTTAAGAATTATTTATTTAATTAACATTTGCTCACTTTTAAAGAATATCATTTTTTTATTTAGCAATAGATTTTTAAAATATCATGGAAAGGAGGAAAATTTATCATTTGAACATGATCAAAACCAAACTGAACTGAACTGAACTGATCTCATAATAAAATGGACAAAGCTTTTTGTTGTGGTTGAGCCAACTGGTTGGTTGGTTTTTGCCAAAACGAAAGGCAAATCAAGTTTACAAACACCCTAATAAAAGAAAACTATGAAAATGGACCATATAACAAGGATCGAAGTAAACAGGATCATGATACTCAGTTACATAAATCACCAGTGTAGTAGATTGCCAAACTTTAAAGACCAGGTGTCTTCAAATGACTATTTGATATAGTGGTATCCATTGCATCTTTTTCCTTATGATCTCACCTCCTGTAGCAAAAGATTAAATGATAAAACTCCCATATAGTTAAAAGGGAAAAATTGTGTATGCAGCGTGTGTTCTGCGCGCGTGTGAAATTTTCTTTCTTGTGAAAAAGGGTTAAATTAGAGGTTAAATAAGATAGGCTAGATGTCCATAATTCATAATCCATGCAAAAATTTATGAGAGAATAATAGTTATATCCCAAAACGTCAAATTAATGATAGTTAAATTTTTTGATAAATTTTTTAAAAAAGTAAGTTACAAATATTGATGTAGATAATTGTAAATTCAGGAGTATTTAAGCATTAAATGTAATTTTTAAACTGTTATAGAAATTTCTTTTTTATAATTATAATAGAAATTTTTATTTATAACTATTTAAATTGATATTTACAATTTATTTTTTAATTTTTTTTGTGAAAAATCTAACCATCATTAATTCAAACTTTTAGAACCTAATTGTCATTTTTTTCAAAATTTAAACTAAATGTTATTATTCACAGCTAAACTAAATTAATTTTATTAGATAATTTTTTTAAGAAAATAAGACGATAGACACTTAATGCCATATTACCGTTAAAAACAAGAAGAACAGATGAGAAGAGTGTGGTGGGACCTAGGTGGTGGTTAAGAATGAAAAATCTGTTGATTAAGTTGAGAGAGAGAGAGAGAGAGAGACCAAACGAAAGTCGCGACTGTGTTTGCTTGTTTGTGCAAAAATTGTAATATTTTTAAAATATAAGATCACAAGAAAACCGTGTATAAAAATAATTAGTTCATATCAAAGCAAATAATATTTTTGCACTCTAAGGGCGGGTCTATAAAAATTGTGGCATCTAAATTGTTGTCAAAAGCGTGATAAGCAAGCCAATCAACGTATCATTTTGCTTTTCTAAAAACATACTCAAAAGTTACGATACAGTTTTTTATAATTAAGTCTGTGATTCTATTAATAGTAGGGAGAATATCAAATAAGGATTTTTGACAAATAAATATTAACAATTGACAAGTGAAAGTTCAAGTTTTGACAGGTATTTAATTTGTCCAAGTCCTTATCTGATATTAAATTATTTTAGTAATCCTTCATTGATATTCTCCTTTAATGGTATTAGAGAGAGGATAATTCTGATTGTACTTGCATTGAATGAGCATGAGAGCTTCAATGTAATCAAAATAGACATTGACTTTCTATTCTAATAAAAGCTAAATCCTTCCAAAATACCCATAAGTTTTGTTGCAATGTTGAGATAGCAACTAAGCTATTTAAAAAAAACCCTGATCCAATTTTCTTAATCATCACAGATGAGCTCTCCATAAGCGGTAGAGCCGTTGGTGTCTATTAAGCTATCAATATCTGATTTAATCATACTTAAATCAAGTGAGCGCCATTTTGCTTGAGCTTTATTATAGTTCAAAAATTAAATGTTGAATTTTGATCGAAAAAGGAGGTCTTTGATAATGTTTTGTGTGCATAAAAAGATAAGGTTTTTAATAGGAGAATTTTCTTTAAAGTAGACAAATTTGCCTGTCTCCTTCCGTATATTCTAACAAACATGAGCAAAAAACCCTACCAGGAGATTCTTCTACTGCCACATATTCCATTAAACATGAGCAAACGGCTTGTATTCATGACTATGTGTAAAACATAGGTTGCAAGCAAGGTGGGCCCAAAAAAGAGAGGTACTTTAAAGCACCTCATGGAGTGTCAAGGAACTGCCATGTTCGTTTGTAAATGAGAATGAGAATGGGATGAATGAGAGGCCAGAGAGGGTACCAAGTCTCGAACCTGCAACATTATAAAACGCTCACCAAGAGAGCATTCCATAAAAGCACAAGCGAGATTGGTGATTGCAACTGCAAACTATAACTTATAACCAAAATTCTTGAAGCTCAGCATCATCCTCTTGCTAAAATTGTCAGAAAATCAAGGGATTTATTATAAAAAATTTGGATAATCACTTTTAACCACATGTTTAGAAAAACTGATAAATATACTGATTGATTTCCACATCAATGTTTTAATAATTATTTAAATATTAGGATTTTAGATATTCCAATCCTAAGGTGTATTAACTTTTTGCACTTTGATATGATTTAACTTCCTTTACTCTTGCATAAACTTTTTATGACCTAATAGTTGAAAAATTATAACCACAAGAAACAAACAATTCGATTAAATCATAGTGTAATGGCTTGTTATATCTTTGATTTTTAGTTTAGCAAAAATATATTTATCAAAGTTAATTATTGTAACCAGAATTATATTTGGATATTTTTTTTAAAATGTCAATTTGGAAAATTAGAAGTTAGTTAAATAATATATAATGTTCTTCAACAAAGAATTATTAAAAAAGACATGAATATATGATATATCATGTATTAATTATGTTATATAAAACTTGATTTATTGAAATAATATATAAAGATATAAAATGTTGCATAATATATGTAATGAAAAATATAAATAATATAAAAATTTATAGGCTTAATAATAAAAAATATAAATATAAATAATGTACAGTTTGATACGTTAAGAAAGAAATTATTTAAATGTTTTTATACACATAAAATAATATTTTATTTTATTTTCAAGTCTACAAAACATCTAGATTTTGGATATCATGATGGTAAAAATTTAATCTTACTCAACCTTAACATCATAAAAATACTTATAACGTACTTTTTTCGTTAAAAAATATAAGATATTTTTTGAGTAGTTGTATATTAAAAATGTAAAGTATTTTTAGTCTTTTAAAATATAATTATTAACTTTTTTAAAAAACCCTTATTAATAGTAATTTTATATTTATTATAAGGTGTTTAATAAAGGTAAATATAAAAAGATAGAGTTAATTTAAAAATATATAATTATTTTATTAAGGGTGAAATTTAATTAAAAATATTTTATATATTTTAATAAAGGAAGTATATAACATAGATTCATAGAAGTTAGTGATTTATAATATATCCTATGTAATAGGCATGTCATTCTTCTTTTTGGCAAAATAACGTTATTCATAACTTTTGAATTTTGGATGTATAAATTTGATGTTAATCAGTAATTATCTATTTATTCTTGGCCAGAAGAATTAAATTTTTATTCTTAATAAATATGACAGCAAAGTTGTAAAGTGTAAACTATAACTATTCAAATTAAACTTTAAACAATTGATGGGAAATTGAAGGGCTAAATTGAAATATACAAATAAATAAATTAAGAAACGAAAGCAAGGCCGAAGGCAGAAGGAGAAGGTACGAACTTAAGAAGAAAGAGAAGAAACGTACATATACAGTTCCACGTTGGAGTCTCCATCACCGTTTCCATTTTTAGTCTGCAAAATATTTGGATTTGGATACCAGGATGGTAAAAAATGGAGAGTAGAACTCATCGTCATCAACCTTACTGGGACTGTGAACGAGACTGTAGTTTCGTAACGATGAATCCAAAATTGGAACCCTAACTGGCTATTCCTTCATCTCCGATTGCGGTTTATTGATTTCCGATCAGGAACCTCGCAGCTGTATCCGCCAAACTGCAATAGCCGACGAAATTCCGCGTTGGAATCTGCGTTGTCTAGTTCGCCCCGAAGATCCACAAGCACCCTTTACCCAGTCGGAGTTCCCACTGGGTGAGGACTCGGGGAATTCGGCATTGTCTCTGCGAAGTTAGGGTTTTTCTTAGCCATGGCGACGTCCAGCTGGCGTGATACCTACAAGGGGATGTCATCCGATAATGTGAAGGGTCTTTGTCTTGCTCTGTCGTCTAGCTTCTTCATCGGTGCCAGTTTCATTGTGAAAAAGAAAGGCTTGAAGAAGGCTGGTTCTATCGGAGTTAGGGCAGGTTTTTCTTTTTTTTTTCTCTTGAATTTTTATGAATTATGAGTTTTTGGTTGCGTAATTTACTGAATAATGAAGGAAGTGTGGGTTTACTTCAGTGTTGATATAATGGGGTTTCAATAAGCATCAATCGGATCGAAGTGGGAATGAATGCAATAGTATCATATTTATGTGATAATTTTGATCGCATGAAGGATGCTCACTTGGATATACGCGTAGGCTTGTAATATTTTGGTTTGACGAGAAAACTCTTTTCACGAAACATTTGCTTTCAAGGAGCAGCGTTTAACTGTGAGTTACTTGTCATGGTCAAGTCATCTCAGACCCAGAAAGTTCGATGTGCCATTAAGAACTTCGGACTCAGAACTAATATGGTGCTTTGGCGTGTATTTTTCTTTTTGTCTGTTTTTCCATTAAAGCTTTGTGGTGCCATTAAGGACCAGAGAAAGGTAGTCAAAGGTGAAAGGCATCCTCAATGCAAAAATTGCGGTGAACGGGGGAAAATGTAGCAGCCATGTCAATCATTAGCTATTAACAAATGATATATGCACTACTCAAGTTCAAAACATCCTTTAAAGGAAAAAGAATAATCTAAAAGCCTATCAACTATCAGATTAGTTATCTGAATTTAAATTTTCAGATTCAGACCCGCCAATCTCAATACTTTCTTCTCCCGCTTCATTGGATTTATATCCTTCAATCTATTCCTCTATCTCATCTGGATCAGCCTCTAGTTCGTTAATGTTGGCAATTGATGTTGAACTTGAAACGTTTTGTTCTCCTTTTTCCTTATTTTGGCTTCTATTTTTTATGATTGCTTCTCCATTACATGCTGCCCTTGCCACAATCTCATGTTGACTCTTTGTTGTTATCACCAAAAATAAGTTCATTTTCAACATCTTTATCAATTAACAATATTGGACCAGATTTTAACTTGTTCACTGTTGAATCACCTCAGACCTGGAAGCTTGTTTTTCAGTTTTGTTCCCTTGCTGCATATTTTGAGGTTTTTGTTGTAATAGATGACAGAAATGCATTGAAAATAAAATTGTGGATCGGGAGTTTTTTATTTTTAGATGTAACCCGAACTGATCACAACCACAAGAAGTCTCACCAACTAAATGGGGACAGCGTATTCTGGACTGACCAAAATCTGAGATTTGAGTAAATGTGTTGTTTCGTTGATTTTTGCTTTATTTTTTTATGCCGCATTAGCTACTTCATCAATAGAGTTTGACCTGATCTTTGTGTTAATGTTAGATAAGTATACACAAACAGTGATATTTGTAATGGCAATAGGGATGCCTTGCTAAATTGAATTCATACTTGAGTTTTTTTATGCTTAAGGGATGCCTTGTTATATATTTTATGTGATATGGAGCAGCTTTCGTTTACCTTGAGTTTGTAATTGTATGTCACGAGTGTCTACACTTGCCACCGGGATGCATGTGCATGTTTTCCCTTGTATTGTTATCCTATTTATTTTTGGTTCACACCATTTTTGTGATGGATCAAGGTTGATAGTGACTAACTTCTTCAATGATTGGCAGGGAATGGAGGCTACTCTTACTTGTATGAGCCTCTTTGGTGGGTGGGCATGATAACAAGTGAGTTATATTTGATTCTGTATTTTCATGGATTGATTACTGAATCAAATCTGGACATTGTTTTTTATTAATTATCTAGATATTATGGGTTTTGGTGCTTTTGAATTCTAGCAAGTTCAGTCACATTTAGTTGGTTCATTTTTGTGATTTTTGTTCCTTTGTGATTTAAAAATCAAAACAGTAGAATGTAATCTTGAAACCCTATCAAAATAAAGAGCTTCAACCCTTCAGCAACCTATGCACATGAGGAAATCATAAGAACAAGGTTAAAGATTGATTGGGTTGAGGAAGAGCTCAAATTATTGAGCAAAAGAGAAGCTAACTAATTAAGGTTACTTGGAGAGAGCAAGGAGGAAATTGTGAGTACTTATGCATAACTCAATTGTAGGTTGGCAGGTAATAGTTACAATATTAATTATAAATTATAAAATATTATTATGAATGCAATACTTGTTAACTCATCCAGTGTATGCCTGAGGCACCTGCTTTGAGCAAGTGGCCACTTCATAGTTAGTCTAAAAGTGGGGAAAGTAATGCAATTAAGAGAAAATCTTAGCCTGTGAAGAACCTTTATAAATCCCAAGTAATAGCCAAGCTTCCACAAATGAGTTTGTTAAACTGAGCTGTGCGCTTAGTATTAGTAAGGGGAGTGAACTTTATTCTAACATGTGTTTGTTATTTAAACAGTGATTGTTGGAGAGATAGCTAATTTTGCAGCTTATGCATTTGCTCCAGCTATACTGGTTACCCCACTTGGTGCTCTGAGCATTATTATCAGGCATGACAAAAATGAGCTTCATATCTATTCTTGACCTTTTGGTGTGGTTGCTGACGTCTGATGTTGTCTTGCAGTGCTGCACTTGCTTATGTTATTTTACAGGAGAAGCTACATTTGTTTGGAATTCTTGGTTGTGTTTTGTGTGTTGTGGGTTCAACAACAATTGTTCTACACGCACCTCAAGAGCGAGAAATCACATCAGTGACAGAAGTTTGGGATCTTGCTATGGATCCAGGTAGTCAGATTTCTAACTGAGCCAATATATTTATCCAAAATATCACACTGGATTTTCCTTTCTAATCAAGATGCTGTAATTTTTCTTTTGGCAGCATTTATCTTATATGCAGCTTTGGTTCTAATAGCTGTCTTCATTCTCATCATCTACTTTATTCCACTCTATGGCCAGACACACATAATGGTCTATATTGGTGTTTGTTCCCTTGTAGGTTCTCTATCGGTATGTCTCATTATCTTCTCTTTGGTAACTTTCTAGTTGTCTTACCCTTCCCTTGTTACGCTCTCTCTGAGTGATTTGTCCTAAAGTTATCCTTTTACAGGTCATGAGTGTTAAGGCACTCGGAATTGCCTTGAAGTTAACTTTGTCAGGGATGAATCAACTTCTTTATCCCCAAACTTGGGTATTCACGCTAGTTGTAATCATTTGTGTTCTTACCCAAATGAATTATTTAAATAAGGTAACTTGATTGTTATTCCTGGTTTTCTTGTTAGTTTCCTGAATTCTCTCATTTTCAAGTTCCATAGTGCCCTTGGAAATGGCTCTTTAGCTTTCCATACAGTGATGTGAATGTGTTCAGTATCATGTGTTTTCATGTTTATGCCCTATTGTTCCAGTGCTCTTGATTTCAACACCTTATGTCTTGTATTGTTAAGAAGATAAAATTGTGCAGTTGAAGTATTATCTTATCTAACTTGTTCGTCACATGCTTTTTGAAGGGCAATTCCCACAAAACCTGTAAGCATAATGCCACGGTTTATGACACTTGGTCATTTTTGTAACTTTGTGATTCATGAGTGTTATTCATCTTTTTTCTGCTGACCTTTGTCGGTGAAGTGCTGATGTGCTTTACCATTATCCCTTGTAAATAACATAGAAAGAAGAAAAGAAAGAATGGAGCAATTAATAGAAGGAAACTGCAATGTGTTGGTAAAACACTGATAATGAAACGAGGAAGTGGGAAGTTTAAGTGAGAAAACAAGAAAATTTTGACCTGGCCGTTTGTCCCTGGACTAAAAACTCTATTTATTTATTAATTTTTTACCCTCATAGAAAAGGTCTAAAATATTTTTTTAAAATTTTCACCTATGTGGCAAGAAGGCTGATGTGTGTAATTGCCACTGGGGCTACATTGGTGCAGTTTCCTTAGTTTTGGCCTGATACTAAGAGTGGGTTATATGCAAGTGAAAATATAGCTTATGCTAAATTCCTAATTCATAGAAGTTAATAAGGAAAAGAAAATAATTTTTGCAGGATCATTAGGCGAGTATATCAAAAACTGAGAACTACTGCTGTGTATTTTTTTAAAATGAGGGTGAAATTCAATTGAAAGGGAGGTGGAATTGATATTTCTGCAGCCTTTTGGAAGGTCTGCAACAGGGAATTGAGTTCTTGAAATCTGCTTGTTTTACCTAACTAAATGTAGGTTCTGTGCATGTTGCATAGAGTCTGAGGTATAAATCGCATTGTTCATGACTTATGAATGATGTTTGCTGTAAATTTGATATTATGTATTGATATAGCAATGATTCATGGAGGAGGATAACAATCTTAAAGTACTCAATTGCTCTATCTGGAGTAAGTAATGGACTTAAACTGAAATGAAATGTAAATGAAATCCTGATGAAGATTCGAATGACTTGAAGGTTGTTGAGAGAAGACGAGGGGAACCAGGTGTAACGCATGGGTTGATAATTTAAATGCAGACAAGACCACTAGTCTTAGTTCAAATGGCTAAAGCGAAAGTCAGTCTGCCTTTAAGAGTTTAAGGTTGAGATGAGTATGGAAAAACATATTTTAACCTCCCATACTGTTAGTGTGTCATCTATTTTCGCATCACTTTTCCCTTTGCTCCCTAATTGGTCGACAAGTCTTTTCAGGATTGAGTATTCAACTGATCATATGAGAACAAATTCATAGTCTTGATAGTTTTAAACTTGGAAGAATTGTGTGGCTTCGGATGATGGGTTTGGTGGTGCTGCCGCAAAACAATTAGTACAAAGTGATTTCATTTACATATATTCACTTCTTTAATTTTATAGTTTGGTATTTGACTAGTGCGTTTTATTTTATCATTCATACGATAATTATTCTAATGTTTCTGTAATGTAGGCACTGGATACTTTCAATACAGCAGTGGTGTCTCCCATATATTATGTTATGTTCACTTCGTTAACCATTTTGGCTAGTATTATCATGTTTAAGGTGAGTTCTTTTTGCTAAAACTGATACTCTTGGGTACCATTTCTTTGCTTTATTTCAAGTCTCTGATGATTGTGTTCAGATTGTCTTGACTGACTGACTGATATAATCTATTTGTTGAACAGTTGAAGGCTCGTTGGCAGTGATTGTAGTTTAACCTTAGTATTTTTTTTATGCATTTTATATATACTGTATCCTAAGTTGTAATTACAGAAGACAAAGCAATGGTAAAAGATAGAGATTAAGGGAGACAGGTTAAAATTTGTTGTTGTTTGTTTGTCTTAACCTGTTACTTCAAATAGACTCTTTGTTCACTTCTTGGAAATTGGACATGTTCTAATCTTTATTTAATATTTATACAAGATCCCTAGCTTAAAATCGTAGGCAAATGATCAACCATGTTACTTTTTGCCTTGTTTGGTATCATAGAAAGGAAAGGAAAAGATTGATGGGTTATCTTATACTTTGATATGATAGGATGGAAAGGGAGAGACATTTCCCTATGTCTTGCATGATGGAAGGGAAAGGAAATAATATCTAGAGATGTCAAATTACTTTATTCTAAGATTCTTATTTTTCATTTTTTTATGTATAATTTAACTTCGCTTTCTTTTCTATTTATCTTAAATTATTTGTGTGAGGCCCACAGCAAAAAATCTCCTCCTCTTTTCCTTGCCATCTTGGATAGATGACGTGCGGTGCAAAATTTGCGTGGGACTCAGCTTTTTCCCATCCCCAATTCTTCCCCTTCTTTTTAAAGAAATACAAGCCCATGAAAGAAAGTCCTAATCCCTCCCATATTTCCTTCCCTAAGAAGTGAGGTGACGTTGGCTATATATATAGACTGCAGGACCCCATTGAGCTTTTATAAACAACTAGCTATTAATATATATCATTCAATGTGAGATTTAGATCTATAACTTTCTTTGGTGCCTTTGGTCTCCCTCTTTGTTTTCGAAGGAGGGGTAAAGACCATCAATTCAACTCTCTGCAATGGCGCACCTTTAGCAGCCTTCTTTGCACATATTTAAATCACTTTAGTGGGTTTTCTACCATTTTTTCGCTGATAGGTGTGATACCAAATGTTCCTTGTAAGGTTGAAAATTAAATCCTGTTAAAGAGAATGACGGCTGGCAATGAGGATCAAAGTTCTGATACCATGTCAGAACTAGTTAAAAACTTCTGTTAAATCTAGGCTTATGACTGGTTTTATCTTGAATTTACGTGTGAATTTGCTAGTTCTATGGATATGTAATCATAAAATTGATCCCTGATTTACTTATGAATTCGATTCAGGACTGGGATAGACAAAGTCCAACACAAGTTGTCACAGAGATATGTGGGTTTGTGACAATCCTTTCAGGAACTTTTCTTCTTCACAAAACTAAGGACATGGCCGATGGTATACCTTCCTGACTTCAAACCCTTACCCTTTGATCTCATGAACGTAGAACAAGTCTCTTGCTTTCAGTTTCACTGGCAGTACACAAGAAAGTTTACTGATTCATGCAAGGTGATCGTGTGCAGGTTCACATACATCTTTACCTATCAGACTTCCTAGGCATCCTGAAGACACTCCCTTCATCGATGGCGGCTGCGTCTCCATTCCTCTCAGACGGCAGGGTTCTTCAAGATCAACGTGACATGTTCTTAACAGTGTATTTACCACGGTTGACGTCAAGTATTTCAACTTCTAGTATTTCCCTCCCCTGTCAGTTGTTTTTTCAGGTACAGTTGGAGGTGGAAGAATCAGATTCTGGTGTCAGTTGTTTCGGCATCCTGATGATCATGCTTTTAGATGATGTTTGCTAGTTGCCTTCTTGTTTACCACTTTACACTTTCCATATAGAAAAGAAAGGCCAATGTAATTTCTTTGTAACTGATCATATATAGCGTATCTCAGTTAAATATCAAGGTAGTTTTGCGCCAAATTTTGAACTGCACAATGTAGAAATAATGGGGTTCTGAGAACTTTATTTTGTAAAACATGTTTTAAAAATTAAAAAAATAAAAAAAATTTTTTCATTTTTTTTATTCTTCAGAATAATAATTTTAGAATATTTGAAAAATAATTTTTTTAATTTTTAAAATAATATTTTATTTTTTTTGTTTTTTAAAACATTTTTAAAAAATACGTTACTAAATTTTAAGGTTGCCAAACAGACTTAATGTTATCATCAGTTTTTTGGCCAATCTCAGTCAAGGCAACCTTCAAATTTTCCTCTCAACTTGTTCTTGTTGGATGGCCGGCTATCAGGGTTTTTTTTTTTTTTTTTTGTTGGCTACTTCTGGCTCAAAAATATGGATATGGACAAAGATGGCTTAAAATTTGTAACGAGAAATCAAGGAGGAAATATTTTTTTTTAATGAGTTATGAACATCAATTCATATTATTACAAATTTAAAAGTCTTAATGGCATATAAGACATTTAAGTTTTAAATGCAAGTATAAGTTTTCAGCTGTTTGGATGGATATCTACAACTTATTTTTCTAAATGTCATTTTCCCATAAATTTTCCTTTATTTCATACTCCCTCCATTTTAATAGTACAAGGCATTTTATTTTGAAAGTATCACACTCAAAAATATAAGGTTAAGTCTTTCAATATGTAATTGATGAAGTTTTTTCTTAAAAAATACTCTTAATTAAAGGTGTAAATAATAAGATTTTTTAATTAAAATACTCCATTAAATAACGAAAAACATTAAGAGTATAATTTTAAATATAATTAACTAATTTATTAATGATATAATTTGATTAAAAATGATTTATAATACCAAAAGAACGTAGTAATATAGACACACACGACACACCTCCCACAAGCTCTCACACGTTGATTTATAAATTACTATTTCTTTTGTTAAAAATATTTAGTATAAGATATTTTTTTCAAAGTATAATGTTAAAAAAATAAGATATTTTGGGAATTTTAATATGCAGTTAATAAGAGTTTTTTTTCAAAATACCATTAATTAAAAGTGTAATTAATAAATTTTTATAACTTATAAATACTATTAAACAAGAGTAAATACGAAAATAAGTGTATACTTTTTTAAAAAAATATTTCATCTATTAAAAAATATAAGATATTTTTAATTAAATTTTATTTCATAATAAAGTAGTTAATTGCCTTTAAATTAACACACTCATTCTGTATTTATTCTTTTTAAATAAAATATTTCACTTTAAAATAAATATAAAATAATTTATTTATTTATTATGAGCACATTTAAAAAATATATTAATTACACTTTAAAATATTAAAATATATTATTTTTTAATATCCAACCTATTAAAAAATATCTTATATTTTTGAATGGAGGGGCTAACTAATTTATTGTAGATATAACTTAATTCAAAGTGTCTTTTAATATTTAAAGAATGTAGTGATATATATATATATATATATATATGTACATAAATTTAGGTCAACTACTGAGTTCAATTTATAAACTGTTAAAATAGTATTTTTATTAATTTAATAAAATATTTTATTTGTGATCAGTTGACTGATTACAATTTTGATCATTTTGACTAGTTCATTAATTTGTCTGATTTTCTCCGTCTTTATATATACACATGCCCGGCCCACTCGCAGATCTATAAATTACTACAATTCATTTATTTGCCAGTGGGGTGAAAGAGAGAATGTCTGCGTGCGGATTGTGAGCCCACGCGCTCCGTTGATATCCACTCACACCAAATCCGCACTCGGTATGATTGGAACACATTAAGCGCGTGGGACTTTATCTTTGGTATTTTATTCATCGACTGAAAGTGGTCCCCACAACTTCAATTCCATGACTATGGCCACTGTACATCCGTGACCACTATCTCCAGCGCCCTCATCTTTCATCCTCACCGTTCTTTTAACCCCACACACACTCACACGCACTTCAGGTATGAATTTTGTATTTTACAATGTCAATTATGTTCTACTGAAAAGCATTTTTTATGTCAAATTAATTTTTTGGATGAAAATTAATATTGTTTATTTATTCAAGCCATGTTGATATTAAACGGAGGGGAAAAAACACTTGGTGTGATTTTTTTTTATTTGCAAAACTAAAACTAGAAACTTTACTTAACTAAATGATGAAATCAAGGTCCCTTCAAGTTCATCAAATGCCATTGAGAAACATTATAAAAATTTACCATTATTATTTAAAGTTAGATGTAACTATGCTTTCTTTTTTTTTTATAATTTCATTATATTTAAGATTCATTTTGGGAATTTCTTATTAAAAAACTGAAAGCGCACTATATCAAATCTACTAAGAATTTTATTTTTAAATGAATTTTATTATTTTTTCTCATTTCTTGATAAATTTTTTTTGTTATTATTATTATTATCACTATTAATAAATTCAAATTTCTAAAAGGGGAATATGGAAAGTAACTGTGATCATAGAGGCGGGGCATTTCTTTTGGATAAAAAGTGAAATTTATCGTAAAGTGGGTGAAAGTTGAGTCTTGTCTTTTTAATTAATTTTAAACAAAAAGACATATCTATGGAACATATAGAGACATATTAAACTAAAAGATATGGTATCCTATGGAGGATTTAGTCGCCAAAGAAAAATATCTCACACACACACACACACACACACACACACATCATGGTATATTTAGAAAATGACCAAATAAAACCTATCCTCATGCTTTTTGAGTGGCTTTTACTGTTCAACCCAAGTATTTTAAATTTATATTGTGTATCCCTACAATTTTAATTTTTGTGACTTATTACTTCAGCAAATATATAATGTTAAAACACGTAGATAGTTTTAATTTTTTTAATAAATTTTTTAAAATTTTAATTCACGTATTCTTAGCAGTGTATGATTTACATCTAATTTTATTATGAATATTTATGATAATACCGTGTCACTTGAAATCTTATTTTTGAATAAAAAGGTTCAATCATTAATCAGCCAGTAACAAACTTCCAATGAATTAATCGAAATCACCATGAAATTTAATGAAAAATTAGAATCATATTGAATCAAATATAATATTTACTCTCTTTATTAAAAAATATAAGATATTTTTAATTGAATTACACCACTCAATTAAGTAGTTAATTGTCTCCCAATAAACACCATTTTTTTATATTTACACTCAATTAATAGGGTGTTTCATTTTAAAATGAATAAAAAGTAATAACTTATTTATTAGGGACATTTTTGGTAAAAGCACATTAATTACACTTTGAAATATAAAAAATGTCTTACATTTTTAATATTTAAACTCTGAAAAAATTTCTTACATTTTTAAACAAAAAAATATATTTTTATAATTAAATATTTAATGATAAATATCCAATATCTAGATTTTATCATTAGGTTAGGGATACAATTCTAAAAAAATATTAGATTTTGTTGATTTTATATGATGGGAATTCATAAGAATACGATTTCATATTGGTTAAGAAAATATTTGTTAGAAAAAATGGTTTTCACAATAAATTAACATGTGTGTAATTTATAACAAGTGGCATTCTTCACGAGCTATGAAATGCATCCCTGGCTTGTGAGATCCATTGTTAATATTTATTATAAATTAATTATATTTCTCTACATATATAATGAATGAGTTATATTATTTATGATTTGTAAACAATCATGTTAAAATTTCATACCATATATATTTTGTTTATCAAAATATCATATGTAATTTATATTTTTATCTTTATCCTTATATACAGTACTTTATATTGAAAAAATATTATTTATAAGTAATGAGTGACATAATTTATTGAAAATTTGAAATTTTTTATTTGTAATATAAATAACTTACTATAGGGTTCAAAATAAAAAGTAAAAAACTCAATTAATATGGCACGTGAAATTCGATAAAAGCGATAAAAATATATGGCACAGAATTGTAGGAAGTGGGGAACAAAGAATTAATGTAGAGAAGTGTATCACTCTAAAAAAGGAAAAATAAAAGAACGTGGTGAAATTTTGTTAAAAAAAGAAAAGGAAAAACAATGAAAGACGTGAAGTTGACTGTTCAAGTCAACACGAACAGTCCTTTTCCCTGCCGGCCTCCCTTCCTCACAAAGCTATCTTAAAAAAAAAAAAAAAAATTGCTTGCGTCTTTTTTTATTTGTACAAATATCAATTGATGTGATCAGTAAATTAATACTAACATAAAAATATAAATTTTGTGATAATAATAAATTATACTATCACGAATAATGAATAATATGACTTATCTTTTATATTTTAGCCGATAGAAAGAGAGCCTATCTAGGATTTTTTTTTTTTTACTAAACTGTAGTAGTGAGCTTTTTTAGTATTGTTATTGTTAGTCTGACTGTTATTATAATCTTGATTTATATCCAACAATCATGAAACATGCATAATTAAAAATAAACATAAACTCAATAAATGTATTCGGATATTTTATTTTAAAATCGTAGTACAATTGATGGCAAAGCTGGCTACTATCTTGCCAGATGGAGACATCTGCTGATCTGCACAAGCATACGATGTGATATATATAAAAAATAATAAAGAATGATTCAGGAAGAATCACAGTGAAGTTCGAAAGTGCAAAATTAATGATAATTAAATTTTTAATAAAAATTTTTATGAGATAAATTATAAATGTCAGTTGAAACAATTATAAACAGAAATTTAAATTACAAATTAATTTTTATATTTAGAATGTAAATATTATATTTGTAATTAAACCTTTTAAATTTATAACTACTTGATATTTACAATTATTTTTTTCAAAACAATTTGTTAGTAACCTATTTGTCATTAATGTCCTCTTTTGAAATTTAATTGTCAATCTCCCATAATTGAATGCCAGGCTCAGCAATATTCAATATTTTTTTGGGTTAGAGCTTATTATAAAATATCAATGAATAATACAAAATGGGAAATATGGAAGTCATTTTAATGACATTTATCGAATAATAACATTGAGTAGTATATTATAATAAGAAAGAAACAGAATGTTAATTAGAGTAGACATGCTATTAAATGGATAATGGATAGAAATGGTTGGTATGGCTTATCAATTAAAATTATTGTACGTAGATTAAGAAATTGTACAATTAATGTTGCATCCCTTTAAAATTTTAAAATACTTTTAATAGTTAATTATTTACATTTTTACCACTAATTAAGGACAATATTTAGAAAAAATTATTTTAATTGTATTTTGAAAGACTTAAAATACCTTATAATATTATAAGAGGGAATATGTAAAAAATAATATATTTTATTAAATTTGGCCCTCATTTATTTAACTACCAATGTTTTAATAAATGCCTCTACAGATACAATAGGGAAAGTATAATTAAATAGTGCTTCGGAAGTCTAAAAAAACATGAAACAATCTTTCCCTCCTAAAAAGACAAAAAGCATCTTGAAGCAGAGGAATTAGAAAACATTAATTAAATAGAAACTATGTTTATCAGCCATTCAGTTGTATTCGCTATTCAGTATTGAGCAGTCTAGCATGGTTTTTGCCAGGGAAAAACAATTATTTCCTTATCAAACAAAATCATTCTCATTAACAGATCTAAATGTCTCAAAACTTATCAATTCAATCCCACCCTAAATTTTGTTAGCTTAACAAAGTTTCCTATACCATGTCAGAACATCAGTAACTAATGTAAGTAGGGTCAACTTCTCTACCCCTGGTTCTTCAAACAAAATCTGAAATATTCTCAGTTTCTCATTCTACTTTGTCATTCTTCTCCCTCTAGCACCATTCACGTTATTATTTAATATATTTCTTTTTCCTTTTTTTCAACGTAAAAATATAAAGAATATTTTTTATTTTCCTGCATCAAACATTTCATGAGATCTACTGTAGAAGTTATTTCCAAACAGACACATCCGTGGCTGTGAAATTAACAATAAAAAACAAAAAATGAAATTTGTGTTAGCAATAAAAAAAAAAGGAGAATGACAGAGAGATACTTTTAATTCAATTTACACCTCAAGTGTTAAACTTCAAAAATTTACAACTTCAGCTCTTAATTTTATAATTTTATTATGATAAATTTACAACTTATTTTTCAAATTTTAACATAATTAAAAGATAAACAAATTAAAATGATATATGGACAAGTTTTAAGGACTAAAAATAGATGTAACTAATTTAATCAGACAGACAGAAAGGGAAGGAAAGCAGGTGGTCCTGGTAAAAACGAGAATTAGAATGCTCCTGACATGGTTGATGTGATTCATCTTCAAATACAGAAACCATAAACTGAAAAGTAATAAACAGTACATGCTCAGATTCCTTGTTTAACTCTTAATTCTTCTACTTAATTTTATAATAATCTTGCTTAGTTGGATCCTTACCCTCTAATCACAACCTTCCTGTGCTCAAAACAGCTCGTATATGGAAAGAGAGGAGTTTGAATTATTTTTGCTAGTCATCAATAAAAAAATTGAAACATTTGTCATTTTTATTTACTGTCAGAGAAGGGGAGATAGAGACCTGTGTATATATAAAGTGAGGAGAGCTTTGAAATTTTGGTTTAAATTTTTAAAATGCTCAATTTCCCATATATATTATACAAAAAAACACAGGAAAAGCAAGCTAGAAAATGACAACACCAAGATAAATTTCCTCCTATACAAGCTCTCTCTGCCAGCTAACTGTCAGTCCCTTTGGACCAGATCAAGCTAATGGAATCACATTACAAAGTCCTCCAAATCAAGCTCAAGATATCAACTTCCTCAAAGCAAAGAGGAAGAAAAATCAATAAACAAAAAGAAGAACAAGAAAGACATCACGGCCACACATCTAAGAAACTCTCAAAGTGTTCTGAGATGACCAACATCCATGGAATATTTTTCAAGCACTCATCATCACAAGTTCAACTTCAAATAATCTGCAAAAAACAAACCCCATAAAATCTCAACTTCTTGCTTCACAAATTACAAAAATTCAACATGGAAGGAAACCCAGCTGTTATTATATACAGAGATGATAATTAAGCAAACTAACCAATTGTTTTTGTCCCTCTAAATCATTGAGAACTGTTAGGACCTTCTTCTCCACTATCTGTTGCTTGCTGCTGCTGCTGATGTTGGTGCTCCAATGGGTGATTTCCGTCAGAATTCATGTTCAAACCAGTTCTGGAATAGGCATTTAGAGCAGCCAGCATGCCCAGGTTAGATTCAGACGTACCCAATCCAAGATGCTGAGATGGTTGTTGATGAGGCATTATCATGGAACCCAGTTGAAGAGAACCGCCTCTCCCTCCACCTCCTTGAAATTCAAGGCCCCCCGGAAGATTGAACCTGGGCATAAAGTGCAGAGGCGCTTGTACCGTGTTGTTTCCAGAACCAGCTTGGGCCGTCGGAAACTGCCACATTTGTGTCTCCGGCGACGAACCTGAACCGGACCCTCCGGCGTTCACTGGTAACATCCAGATTGTGCTGCCTGCGCCACTCGCCGGAGCCGGAGCTACCGCCCACATGGTAGCGGCAGCGGGGAGTATGCTGGTTGGACGAAGAAAGCCCGAGGATCCAGCTGCCTCCTGTTGCTTCGGGATTTGCTGTAAATTGTTCTTGAATGCCTTGGGTGAGCTTCCTCCACTGTCGTTTTGTGATTGGTTATCTTCTTTGAAGAGATCTTCTCTGAAGCGTTTTCTCAAATAGTTATCGGGCCCGTCGCCTCCGCCGCTCTCCCCGCCGCCTCCGCCTACCGGAATCGCTTCCGCAATCTGATTGGCTGTCAGTAGATGGGGTTGATTCTGCTGCTGCTGGTGGTGATGGTGAGGGTTAAACCCTAAGAGATGGTGGTGTTGGAAAGCTTCTTCATAAGGATTATGGTGACCATGAGCAGTGAGAGCCAACGCGCCGTGAAACGTATGCGGAGCGGACTTCGATGGCGGAGCCGAGATCGTCGAGCCGCTACTGCGCAGCGACACGTTGAGTGTCGAGAAGTTCGCCGGAATAGTGCCGGTGCCTGTAGCAGCGATGATCGCCGGCTCCGCCTGCTGCAGCAGCCACTCAATTGTCTCCCCATCCGACTTATGCCCCAATTCCCTCGTCAACTGAAAAACCCTAGCCGCACAGGTCGCCGGCATTCGAATTCTCCGGCCACGTCCATCCACCTTGGTATGCCTATCCTTGGTAGACCTCTTAGGCGGGTTCGCGGTCGCCGTCAGCGCCGTAGAAATCGACAACTGCTGCTGAATTTGAGTCTTCTTCACGGCATCCACAACCCCTCCGGTTCGAGCCGGCGGATGGGCATCAGATCTGGTGGCGATAGCCAGGGAGGCATCAATGAGGTGAGGAGCAGCGGAAGCAGAAGGCAAGGCAGTAGTAGCCGAAACGGAAGAAGAATTATTGGATAAGGAAACAGAAGAAGACGAATTAGCCGACGAAGACGTCGTCGAAGAAGAAGAAAGGCCAGCTTGGATGGAGATGGAGCCCATGAATGAGGAAGAAGGGGACGACGAAGACGAAGAAGGCGAAGGCCTGCCATCGAAACTGGGGACCACAAGCTGAGACGACGTCGTCGAAGAGACCTGCTTCTGCTGGTGGTGGTGGTGGTGAGTGGACGAGTTGGTTTGCAAATCTGATAGTTCCATTTAGGTGTGGGGAAGGAGGCCAAAAAAAATGGTGGGATTATTATTAATAATATTAATATTAATAAAATTTCCCCCTTATTTCTGGGTGACGATGATGCGAGTTCATGGTATAAAAAAAAAAATTGGGGTTGAGTTTTGTGGGGCTGAGAGATTGACCAGTTTCACAGAGAGAGAGAGAGAGAGAAGAGAGAGGTGGGGGACCTCTGGGGAAGGAGGACGATGAAGGAGGAGAGAACTGAGAAGCAGAAGACGAAGAAGGAGATGAGGAAGCAGGAGGCCACTCGTGGGGTCTCGTAAATATGGACTTTTGTGTCTGCTTTGTTGCCTCCTCTCTTTCCTTCTCGGCTTCAAAGACTCCAAGTCAATGTTTTTATTTGGATTTCTAGTTTCTTTTCCCTTACTGTATTTAAGTTTTTCTTTATTTTTTAAATTTATGTTTTTTTCCAAAAAAATAAAAGTATTTGTCTTTTAAATTTTTCTCAATTATTTATTCAGTAAATGAAATTTGACCCGAAACAATTTTTTAATTATAATTCCTTTACTCAAAATAACTTAATCTTTAGTATAACTTTTGAATTAAAACAACTTAAATTTTATGATTTCGTGATTCACTACAACTTAGTTATTATAATTTTGTTTTGGTTAATTGGTTGTTATAATTTTTAACTTAAATTACAATGATTGCATTGTATTGGATAAAAAATGAGATGCTAAATTGATGATTAAAAAAAAGTTTAGTGATAATTTTTTTTAACAAACATATAATTATTCATCATTTCACCTTTTCTCAACATAAATTCAATCTTTCAAATTTAATTTAAAATTATTCAATCTTTATGCTTTTTGACCTGTAATAACTCATTATTATAGTTTTTTTTATTCAATACAATTCAATCCTTATGATTTCTTAACTCGATAAATTATAAAAATTGTATCATATCAGAGTTTAAAAATTAAATTAATAATTAAGAAAAATTAGTATTAAAAGTTATAGTATCAAAGTATAAAATTATAAAAAATTATATATATTAATAAATCTCGTTAAATATATTTTATAAATTTATTTATTTAAATAAAAATATTAACTTTTAAAAATATTATTTATTTAATATATCATTTATAAAATAATATTAAAAAGATATAATATAATTGGGAGAGTAATATAGGAAAAGCAGAATTAAATCTATTTAATTTTTGTTGAGTGTTTTATGTCTTGATGCACCTAATTTTATATAAGTCTCTTGTAATTTAAGATGGGTGGAATATCTTTTAATTACGTGCCATGCCACTATGATATTATTATTTTATTGTAACAACCCCTTGTTTCTTCCGTGTGGATAGTGTTACGGTTTCCATTATTTCCAGGCTGTACTGTCTCTTACTTATTATTTTTGGGATAATCAATCAATATCCAAATATCATCAATATCTATGTCCATAATATTCAAAATATAAAATATTTTTTAATATGAAATCAAATTAGTAGTTTGGTTTAATATATTCAATTAATAAAATATGTTACGTAGATTTTGAAATTGAAGATCATTTAAAAAATTATTTTTTAAAAAAACTGACAGTTAATATAATGTTTTTATTTTAGATTTCGTATCCATTACAAAATTTTAAAAAAATAAAAGTAAAAAGTTATGAATCTGGACTTTTAACAATAAATTTAAAAGGTTTAGAGATGATGAGCTGACATTACTCATCTGAGCGCTGAAACAAGTTCTGACTCATAAAGATAATGTAAATTCACAATGCATATATATTAATTAACCATTTATGAATTAAGTTTACATTGCCTTCAAATTTGTGGAAAAAATTTATATACTTAGTCTTATATATTTGAGGTGTGTTTATTTTCAATTAAATAAAAACAAGTGTATCATTTATTATTTATTTTATAATAATTAGATTCTTGTTATTAATATTATTAACTCTTAAAATTCACTTGTTTTGATATAATTGGATAAATAAAAATAAATTAAGTGTATAATGCTAAATATATAAGTCTTGTCTTAAATGTTAATCCTGAGATTATTGACGTAATTATTAAGATGTATTTCACAGGCCGATGAATCAGGTGTTTGTGATTTGCAAGATAACTAAACAAACAAATTATTTCGTGGATACATTAGTTTGGAAGAATAATTCAAATTTAAAAATATTTTAATTTTAGTATTAAAAAAAATTCACATGCAAATCATAAAAATATGAATAAATACAAATAGCCATATAATAAATGATGCATAGAGCCTAGTGCAAATGACACTGCTTTTATGACTTGTAAATAGTAAACAACAACAAATATTTAATAACACAATTTATAACCATCCCGCCTTGATTTGATCAACTTTAATCAAAAAATCTTAAATTCGAGTCCTAAATATGATTAGTCCGGGTTAAAGATATAGGATAGCCAAAAAAAAAAAAAAAATTATAAGACCTTCTATACTTGAATGAAGTTTGGCGTGGCCTTGGTCCAAGTCGTGGATTCTCCCATTTTCTTAAAAATAAAAAAATAAAATTTAGTTTTTTAATAGAAAAGTACAATTTTGTTTATTAATTAGTTTTGTGATTATGCAATTGTCCGTCTCACTCACTTCGAAGGCATACGAAAGTATCGCCTATAAAGTGGTTTTCCTGAGAAGCAAATTGATGACTTTCAATAGCAAAGTAATTCTCAAGGATGACAATAAAAATTTTTGAATTATATAAATAATAATATAATTTTTTAAAATATTATAATTTATTAAGTCTTTAAAATTTTTTTATCATTAATAAATTTATATAAATGATTAAATTATCCTTGTTAAAATAAAATGATCACAAGTTTGTTTAAATAATCATAATTTTTTTCTTATATTTGTTATAATGCAATAACAAATTACAATTTCACATATTAAATTTCTATTATTACCACGAGAGTAATTTAGTCATTTATATAAATTCATTAATGACAGAAAAAACCTTTAAAAACTTCAATAAAATTATAATATTTTAAGGGATCAGATTATTATTTATATAATTAAAAAGAATATTATTATTATTTTTCTAATTCTTAAGTGACGATGCATAACTGGATGAACTACAAATTTTTGGATTTTACCTTCTTTTTTTCCCTTTGTTTATCACTTTATCTTACTCTATTGTTTAATAAAATTAATATTGTATTATCAATTTATTTCAAAACATTCTCAAAATTGAATCCCAACTAATATGCATGAGAGGTTGGAGTCTTAGTCTCTTAAACAATGAATTAAAGTTTCAATTTTTAATCTTCGTATACAGAGTAAACATAATTAAAATATATATATATATATATATATATGTATACACACATATCTCAATAATTAAATTAAAAATACTTAGATATTTAACTTTATGCACCAAATACACGTTTTTCAATTAAATTAAAACAGGTGAAAATTAAATAATATTAATAATAAAATTTTATTATATAATAAATAATATAAAAAAGAGCTACTTATCTTGATTTATTTATAAACAAACATATATAAAACCACCTATATAAATTTTTTAATTAAATTTAAGTGATTCAGATGTAGAGACAAATCATTGCCATTTTCATCCCTGGTTTTGCGCCAGTGTGCTCAAATTTGGAAGATTGGGGACACAAGAAGAGAGAGAATGAGCAATAATTGACATTTGTTTTAGGGAAAATAATAATAAAATTTTTTTAAATATATAAATAATAATTTAGTCCTTTAAAATATCATAATTGTCTTAAGATTCTTAGAATTTTTTTTTCATTAATGAATTTATATAAATTATCAAATTACTCTTGTTAAAATAGATGATTCACAACTTTCCTTCTTTTATTTGCAACAATGCAACAGTAAATGAAAAATTTAACATGTGAAGTTGTGATTTGTTATTGCATTGTTATGAATTTAAGAAGAAAATTTGTGAATATAAGAAAAAAGTTGTGAATCATTTATTTTCAACAAGAGTAATTTGATAATTTATATAAATTTATTAATTACAGAAAAGTTCCCAAGGACTTCAAGAAAATTATGGTGTTTCAGGAGATCAAATTGTCATGTATATATTTCAGAGGGATTTTATTGTCATTTTTCCTTTGTTTTATCACTTTTTTTTTTAAAAAAAAAAGAATAATAAAATCCTTTCAATTATATAAATGACAATCAGATCCCCCAAAAAACATAATTTTACTAAAATTTTTAGGGACTTCTTTACTAATAAATTTTAAATTAAAAAAATTATTTTACCTTTATTGATAAGTTGTGATTTCTTATTCAATTATTGTGATTCTTTGAATAAAGTTGTAATTCTTTAAACAAAAGTTATGAATGAGGATTATTATTTTGAGAGCTTATATTTCAATAATAAAAATTACATTTGATAGATTATGATTTCTTGTTTAAATTGACAAACAACAAACATTATTTTTTAAGTAAAAGTTGTAATTGGAGCTTATTTGTCAATAATAGAAATTACACTTAACAAGTTGTGATTACTTGTTCAACTCAACAATTTACATAACAAAAGTTGTGATTCTTTAAATAAAAGTTATGACTAAAGCTTATTATTTTTAAAAAGGTAAAATGGTTTTTTCACTTTAAAATTTTTTGACACAAACATCCCCAATGATTTTATTGAAATTAGATATTTTGAATAACCAATTGTCATTTATATAATTTAAAGAGATTTTATTATCATTTAAAAAAAAACCTCCCTCCCTCCTATTTAATTTAGATCAGACTGCGTAGTTTAAATTTTGATCGCTTAAACTTTATTTAAAAAAAAACTATATAATCGAACTCTTAAGTCTGAAGGAAACAAATAATTAAATTTGATCAGGAATAATTAAGTAGAGATTATACCTTTGAACCATGGTTTTGTCAAATAATCTTTTTACTTGAATGGATAAGGATAAGTTAAAGTGAATAATAGAGATTTTTTCCCCATCTTTTTTTAAAAAGAACTTGTTAGCCTTTTTTTTTTTTTTGGCCAACAAAAAGAACTTGTTAGCTAAGCTTTATGAATAAACTACTTTGCATGAATAATAAATATGAACAGAAAGAAAGAGAGAATGGAATTGGAAAACAGGTGAGCATCAAATGAAAGAATCTAATGCACCATGACAGCTCATCCCCATCCCAAACCCAAAACTCAATTTCCATCTGTTTGTTTCTATCCACTTTGTGCTCTTGTTGGAATTACATCAATACCCCTCCAATTTTAAAATATACATAATATATTTTTTGGAAAAAAAAATATTTCCTAACATTTGAGTCTAATTCTAATTGTTTCATCAAAATGTTATGGACGGCTATGCATGATATA